GGCCATAGAGGAAATACATGACGAGAGAGAACAAACAAGGCGAAGGACTGCCCAACATCTTTGAGAGTTTTCTGTACACAAGGTGCTCTTGATGTCTAACCTCTCTAAATCCAATAGTGTTGTCCAAAAACACATCTTTGATCTGCAAAAGCCCTTCTTTCATCGATACAAGCTTTTCCAAATGATAAAGTACAGTAATTTCTTCATCATGTTCAAGATACCTTCTCAGATCATTCACCATATCAAGAACATCTTCCCATTTCGCAGAAGCATTAGCTTTCGCATATCTAGCTGGCACAGGCCGCATCCAAGAAGTTGATTTCTCGGCTTCAAATGAAACCGATGATTCAGATAAGAATCTGAGGCAAGACAATATCACTTGCTGACCCAATACTCTACCTTGACTCACCTCTCTATGTTCAACTAACCAATCAACTTCTTCTTTAAGACCATTCAATATATCTTCAAGAGCACCTCTCCATATACGATACTGCGTTACCTGTGAACACACAGTGCACCTCACTAGCTTCCGCTGTTGCGCCGAGACATTAAGAAAGTTGCTAACTTTAGTCAATGAATTCACCACCAATGGCTCTCTTTCACTTTCACTCCCAAAAAATGGGAACTTGAACCTTCCCTCTTCTCTGAGCTTCTTCTGAATTGAAGGAGAACCAACAAACATTCTAGCCAGAGACTTAAAGGCTTGCATTTTCTTTTTGATACCATCATCATAAATGACAACACCATTGATGTCCTCTAGCTTCCCATCGACTAAATCGACATCTTTCAATGCACGGCTTAGTTTTTTCAGAACTGTGAGTTTCGACTCGTACCATTCACAAGGCAATGTATCTTCAAAGGAATCAACTGAAGAATGATACAAAACCTGGATTGATTGGAAGAAGCGACTCGGATTTGCTCTGAAACAGATGTCAGAGATTAGAAGTCTTCTTATTTGATGATACCCATTAACCCACATTTGAAAAGCAGCTAAGTGTAACAGCAACGAGTTAATAGTCAGACATCAAATCCTCTCTTAGGAATTTCATCAAACAGTTTGTATGCACTTTTTGAGAAAGAAGAAACTTGACGAAATTGGGCTCTTAATTCATCCACAGGTGTGATCTTTTCAAGAGATCAAACTTTTAATGCATGATTAAGTATCGTGAAAAGAAGCAAAGCGAATTAGAGAGAAGAGATTCAAGGGAAGCTTTAGATGACAAGGGAAGCTTTAGATGACAAGTGAAGCTGTGAGAGAGAGGAGATGAAGTTGGAAGCGAAGAAGAGCTTGTTAATCGCGTTTGGATCATTAATGGGCCGACTCATTATAAGAGCTTGTTAATCTGTTATTGGTATCATGATTTTTAAATTCTATTCAAAATCTAGGGCGATAGGCACTAAGAGCGTAAATGGTAACATGAAAAAGATATTCAGCCAGATTCAGTAATTCCGCAGTTACCATTTGCATAAAACTAAATTCAGCCAGATTCAACAGTTTTTCCAACATCAACAGATACATAGTATGTTCATTTCAGATAAAAATTTGGATTATAACGATTCACATTAAAATTAAAATATTTTTGGCTATTAAATTAAAATATTTTTAAAATAAGTTTAGATCATACAAATACGATATATGAATAATTCATACACATAAAATTATTACCAGAATAGACAAGAGACATATTTATGTTCAGATATCTATAGATAATTTTAGATAATTTTAATAAATTTTAGATACTTAAATATAATTTTCCAAATTTTTGCAAAAATAACTCATACTTATGCTAAAATAATATTTAAAATATCAAATTAAAAAAAATTGTTAATCATCCTAATCATATTAAGGATTTAAACTACTAGAGAACAATGAAAAATCAATAAGATAATCTATACTATATTATCATGTTTATTTTAAAATTAATTTTTCAATAAAACTTTGACAAAGCTTTCTATTAATTAATTATATCATTTTAATAGTTCAAAAATTAGATTTGGAAGAACAACTCAATTTTGCTAAAAAGATATTAATTCTAGTATTTATTTATTGGTATAAGAGTTAATTAGACAATTAGATAATTTTATCTATTTTATTTAGATATTTTTCCTTAGTTATTCTACTAATATTCATAATTATTTGACGATATTTCAGTTAAAGTCTTAATTATTTCGACAGATTCTGCTGAAAAGCACAAAAAAAAAAATTCAGCTAGATTCAGCGGTTACCATTTGAAAATGTAAAAATTCAGCCAGATTCAGCTAAAAATCACAAAAAATTCAGCCAGATTCAGCAATTCAACCGGATTCAGCCAGATTCCTCGGTTACCATTTAGACCATGAATCACCCTTTGTTTAGCGTCTAGCGGTTTCTTGAATATTGGAATTAATTGGTTAAATCTTTTTTTTTAATCATTTTCTTAGTCTTAATAATTCATATTCAGTCCAACTTAAAGTATTCTTTAAGTTATCTTCTTTTGTATAAGTAAATATAGTGTATGATAATGTTTAAAATATGAATCTTGATTCCCAGTTATTAAGATCTTCAAATGTTAAACATATACTTTGATAACAAACTCATGTGAAAACTCGAATTTGTGTTAGTGTTGTTAATATGTCACCACTCTTTTTTTTTTTGTCAAAGAATATGTCACCACTCTACTCAAATCATACTATATATCGTATCTTTTTGACCAAAAAAAAAAAAACAATTAATGTGAAGTGGCTCTAATTTTGCTGGTGGAATTATACTAAACTCTTTAAACAAAAATATGTTTTCATCAAATTGTTGACAATACATGCTCCATCCATGTCAATTGCGTGCTTTGCATAAAGATAGAAATTATTAGGAAGAATGTGGAAGGGTGCAACAGAACAAAGACAAAAGAAAGAAGGGCTAAGAAAAAAAGGCTTAGAAAGATGAACATGCTTTGCTTTTTTATGTGGGTTAAAGAGAAAATTTTAAAAAACTTTTTCAAAAGTTACTGAAATTTTTCCAAAATTTAAGAATTTATTATTGTTTCGTAAGGGCGTTTTTGAAATGGATAAAAAGTTATCTTTGCTATTGCTTTTGTTTTAAAAATTGACTTTAACAGTAAGAATATTTGTTTATTTAACAAATGATGTGCACTTTACTTAGAATATTGGTCATCGACGGGTCTCTCTCGTTTCCTCATTAAAAGAAACACTAAGTCTACGTATAATTAAGAGTATGTTAATTAGCATGAATTATATATTTGCATGAAATTATGTTTAAAGCTATATATATACTGTATATAGTTGCACACATCTACCCTGACCCTTGTAACTTAATTATACCGCCAACACTGAATTTTAAGCAGTGGCTTAGTTTGACACTAATTGTAATTTAATGATTGCTTATGGATCTTTAGGTAACATGACTATGTTAGTTATAATAACCATATGATTTAGGAATTATATATATGCACTACTATATTTGGTATTTAAAAGAAGTTTATAAAGCTGGTTGTATTTTATTGTTTACAATAATTCACAAACCTACAAATACTAATATTCATCTAAATCAAATCTAATAATTGATGGTTTTGAAATTTAAAATGGGAAGACATTCACCATGATGCATGATAATAATACCTAAGACGTACTTTCACTTCACTAAAACCAAAGAAGAATAAAATGATGAATTGAAGTAAAAGTGGGGAAAAAAACGAAAGATTCTTTAGTAAAAAGCCAATTAGTGCAACCCTTTAACGCAAAAATAAAAGCTAAGCAATGGATTATAGTAGCAGACATTAAAGACTGGTTGTCTTTTTTTTTGACCCGTTGATGATAATCTTATACTACACTTCCATGAGTTCATTGTATTGGGAATCCTATGCAAAATGTAACGTGTGTGTGGACACGTACGTACGCTTTCTTATACTATTTTAGAGTCCAAATCATGACAATAGAACGAACGATAAAATTAAAATAGGAGTAGATGTAGTCAGTGTGAAACAAACCGAACAAGCAGTGTAAAATATATTGTTTCTCGAATAGAATTGTATCAGTTAGTAAATTAATCAGCACCATTTTTTTATTTTTCGATTGCTTCATGAAAAACAAAAAAAAAGTGAACCATGTATACAACAAAAAATGAGGTGTACATCTATTTCTTTTAATTTTCTCATTTTTGGTTGTATAAATGGGTTCATATATTAAATTTTCACGAAAACGAATTGGTCGGCTTTTCGTTCAAATAGTTAAGGATAACATAATTAATATTTTTCTGATAACTATTCTCATTTTAGAGGGAACTCGTAGAAATTTCATTCGGTTTGGTGGTTAACTCATTATATTATCGTCAAGCCATATCTAAATATGGATGCTTAATCTTGATCTACCTTTGAAAGTTTTAAAATTTGATTATTATTCACGCCTTTTTTTGAGGCATTGGATTGAACAAAAGGTTTCGTACGTTGTGGTCCATGATGCATCATCTATTTCAAACGCTTACTAGAGTTTGTGTTTGGTTTAACGTAAAACTCCACTCCTATACTACGATTTTTTTTTTTTTGATAAACCCTATCGGCTGATCCGGTAGGCCTCGGTAGGAACGCACCGAAGTGCTACAGAGTGGAATTTTCCCGATCCAGGTAGAATTGGGCCACCACACTGTCTGATCCGAGTTTGAAATACCTTCCGACTAATGCCAGAGGGTAGTCAGGCCGCCTGCATTTCTGACTACCAGGTAAACCAATTGGGTCAAGGCCCAACTGACAGACTTCCCAAACAAATGTGTTTTTGTTTCCATGGAGAATCGAACTCGGGTTTGGGAGTTTCATACTTCACCAAAGGTTTCTCTGCCACTAGACCACAAAGGCTTGGGTCCTATACTACGATTTATATGATTGCAAAAAGTAAATGCATAAAAAGATTTGCGTGCAATTTGGATTTTGCTGCCACCAAAACAGCAGTTCTCAACGTCTCGTACGATCAACATTCAACAAGTCAAGTGCTTCGAACTTAGGTGAGAATAGGGATTGCGGAATCAGAAGGCAACAACCTTGTCATAAATAAGAATACATTAAAACAAACGTACATACTAGCTAGGAGATGGAATGACATCAGAATTTTTTTGTCTTGCTTACATTCGAACATAAACCAAACAAAGGTCCTACAAGATATGAAACGTGTCAAATCTAAAGGGAAAAAAAAATCATGACATAAAGGGTCGGTATCTTGTTCCGGTTCTTCATCAGTTTTCTCTTCTCTAATGCTTCCTGGTCCAAAAGAAAAGTATCAAAAGATACGTTAACTTACTGTTTTTAGTCAAAATATATATGTTGTGACTTGGGATTAGAAATTTACAATTATTGTTGGACTAATAGGGTGGTTCAGTGGCAGGTTTTGGTGCGTTACACCTGAAACACTCTGACCTGCTTGCGAAGTTATGTTCGTTGCAGCCTGACCTATATATACACACATAAATTAACGATCGGTTTAGCTTACGTAAAACCCAACATATGCATGAGTTATAGATATGACGTGATGACAAAAACCCATATACATTTCATGAACCATGCACATGAACAACATTTGTTATCGCAAAAAAAAGAACACATGCATACACGCACTAACAAACAAACAAAAAGTACCTTGGGCAAATCCAATCTCCAGATTTCCAAGGAGAACGGCCTGTGCCGCTGCCACCACTGCTGCTGCCAAAACCAAAAAGGCCACGTCTTGGACCAACATTCATGTCTATAAACCCGGTTGTTGCAGCAGCACTTGAACTTGAAAACTCATCTTTGGCGGCACCACACTTGAAACAACTGGACCTATTGGCAAAATTATGTGTCCCGCAACTCCCAACGTTGCAATACCAATCACCGGGTCTCACGTCGGGCCCGGTGTTGAAACCGAAGGAGCTACTAACCGGACGGCCACCAAAACTGCCGAGTAAGTCAGTACTGATGCCGCCCGGTCTAGGCTCTCTACAACGTTGGCATGAATCCCTCCATTGGAAGTTGAGGTGGCTACACGATCTGCAGTTCCAATCTCCCGGCCTATTCATCTTCTTCTACGACCCCATAGAAAAAAAAAAGTAAATAATTACACAAAATTAATAAATATATATCTGTATACAAATAATGTAACCTATATATATGTTATGATTACCTGAGGATGTTAAATGGAAACGAATAAAGAGAATTGATGAAGTGAGTGTTAGAGCATATGAAGGTGTTGTTGTACTCTCTACATATATTTATATGGACAAAGCAAAAGTCCCTAGCTTTAACAACCGGGAACAATTTTTGAAGTGAAATTAGGGTTTCAATTGGTTTATTTACTTTCTTATTTGCTACAGCTTTAATGCATATCCCTTTAACGTTGGGTTTCTCCGTAAACTACGTTATTCCCAAAAGAAACAAATTTATCTATTTATATATATCGAGGACTTTAAATTTATCTATCATTTTTTGACCCCACTATTTTAAACAAATAAAAGAAACACAAGTTTAAAGCTTTCGATATCAGCCGTTTTCATTTTGCGTCTGCTTCACAAAAGCTAATACATATACATACTGCCAAATTCAATTCCATTTTTGTTTATTTATCACATACTTGACATATGTAAATCTGCGTAATTTTAGACACATAAATATTTTAAAATTAATCAAGACGTATTCTAATAGATTAGAAGAGTACCAAACTATAATCCGAGTTCAAATTCGGAAATGTGCAGTGGGTTGTAAACGATCTTTAATTTAACTTAAATTGAAAGATCAAAATAAAATTATTTCAATCTTTACGTATGGGGAGGAAAGTAATTTCCAAAATCTAGTCCTAAATTTACAAAAGACCCAAAATCTTACTGGTTCTTTAATTTATACAAAATAACAAATTAAACCAAAGTTTGCCAAATTACATACCAAGATGACTAAAAAATATCTCTTACAACTCTTGCTTTTAATGGTGGTGTGGAAACATAGATGTGTTTTTTTTTTTTTTTTTTTGGGCGACGGAAACATAGATGTGTAAGATTTTGGTGTCATGAACGAGAGTGAATCCTCCTAATTACTTGGTCTCAAGGTTTTATAACACTTGAATTGATAATGAAAAGAGATCGATACTATAAATGGCCTCTATATATGGGTTATTAATATAGTTTTTGACTAACAAGTGGATTCTCGCTATGAGACAAAATGAAAATTTCACTAAATTTCACAAATGAAACTGAAAAAAAAAGAAAAGAAAAGAAAAGTAAAAGATTCTTAGACCTTTTGGGGACCCAGTTCGTATATGCTTATAGATTTGTTGTTAACTGTATATGCACATATGATCATATAGATCCTGACTGACGACAAGCTGAGGAATATATAGTTATATTCTCATTATCTATTTCGAGCATGTACCACTTTCATATTATTCATCAATCGTAACTTCGTGGTATAACTAATTTGTAATCACATTTCATATATTTGTATAGATAATAAACAGATATATTGATGGAGGTACATGGGTGTATAATATGCTCTCGTGCGTGTCAGGAGAAAAAGGATGCAGCATGAAGTAAAAAACTCTCTAGTAATGTTAAAGCAAAAGTTGCATATGGCAACAGTTTCAAGGAACGTATCTGTTCCCTTAGCCGCGGAAAATTATAAACGTCAAAGGAATAACTTCTCTTAGCTTTTCTTTAATTTAATTACTCTTGTAACTAATATTCAAGTATATCCATGAGAACTTATTCGTTCGTGATTCTCAAACAAGACTTAAGAAAATCATCAAAAATTATAGATTAAAGCGTAATTAAAACAAGAATCATTAAATTAAATGGGAAGGAAAAGGCTTTGAGGTTCGTATCTTGACCATCTTTGTGTCCTTTTGATTTGTCTACTTACAACAAGACAGTTTCGTCCACTTTTTTATTTAACCTATCATTTTCTTTATTTTCCTCACTGTACATACAAATTATAAATTGTGGTTTGTGGATACACTTCAAATGCAATCGCTTTTTTTACCGTCAAATCACCCTTTCTATTGTGGTACATACTTGTCTATCTAAAGTTGAGTCAGCTATATGATAATAAGACAGAAAAATCCACAATAAGACATAGGGTTTTGTGTAAAATAATCCTCACAATCACTAATTTTTGCAACTATATCTTTTACATTCCAAAAATGAAGAATAATTTTTTGAAACCCAAAATAATAGGCAATATAAGCAATTTTATCTTAGGTTTTTTTTGCACAAAACCCTAAGATATACTCCATCCGTTCCTGAAAGTTTGATGTTCTACTATTTTAGGTTTATTCCACAAAAATTGATTTTCTAGCTTTTTATTTTATTTTTATTAATTGATATTAACAAATCGTAGATTTCAAGGCGTAATGATTACAAATAATTAACTGTTTTAGATTACTATTGGTTCATACATTATTAAAAAAATAAAAAGAAAAAATTATGAAATGATTAAATCATGATTGTTTCTTAATATATGTGTAAACTCTAAAACATCAAATTTTCAGGAACAGAGGGAGTATAACTTAAATGACTTTATTCAACTTTTAAGATATACATATACAGTAGTAGAATTTCACTAACAGTACAAGTTATATATTATTTACTGAAATGAAGGACAATATTGTATTTTTTTCTAACTTATGTAAAATGTAAGAGATAATGTAGTGTATATATATATATATATATATATCTAATTGTCATGTACCCCCAAACAAGTCTTTTTATGTATATTCATAAGTTTAGAAAATTAAAGCTTTAAATTAATTATTTGTACAATTGTAGTATACGAACTAAAATATAGGTTATGGTGATTTTTTTGGTAGGATGGTTATGGTGATTGAAGGTGCATGCTCTATACAACTCCGTCCATGGCTCCGACCCTAATGCCTTATCCATAAGTAGCCATAAAAGTGTAACTCGAAATTGAAGAAAAATAATGGGTAACTTAAAAAAGAATATTTAGAAAGAATCATAATAGAGAGAGAGACAAGGGAGAAAATAGAAGAATCATAATAATTAATAAACCCACCATAATGTCTCGGGGAATGGTAAAGAAAAACTGACGAACACAAAAGAAAAGAGAGAATCTATTCGATTATCTTTGGGAAATACTTCCATGCATCATCATCACTTATCTCAACTTCTCCAAAATGTCTTATGATTTTCCCACGTATTTTATTTAGGATGATTCAATTATCTATGAGTATGATCATTCGCTAGGACGATTACTTAGCATAATCAAATTGTATGTTAAGATTGCGAGCAAAAAATGTTCTTAAGAAATTATATATATATCATTGTTATCTAGAGTTTTTATAGCCCCATGAAAGATTAGACATTAAAAAAAACCTCAACATACATAACTCACTTTTTCTTAAGTTTATTCATGAAATAACCATATGATATAATTTCACATTTACTTAAAAGAGTAAAAGTGTTTGATATGCCATGTAATTCCCCCAAAATAACATATCCTTAAATATATTAAAACAGTGCTGACCAAAATACAGAGGAAAATAAATTAGTTAATGGATTTTTTTGTATTTTTGTAAGTTGAGGGTTATTTTAAAAATATTGGCTACTTTGAGGGTTTTCTTGCTAATTGACAGGAAAAGTAAACCGAATATGGTTCTACAAGTAAACCGGACAACAAAGTAAAACCCAAACGAAAAATAAAAATAAACAAAACTCTCAAAATTAATTTTGTTTAAGCAGAAAAGAAGAAGAAGAATCCATGGCGGAAGAAGAATTGCAGAGAATCGATGAGAAGAAGCCATGGCGAGTTCTCGAGTTCTACAGTGGAATCGGTGGAATGGTATCACTCTCCTTCTTCTCTAATTCTATGTTTTTGGTGAAGTCTACTCTCTTTCATAAACCCTAATTCCTATGTTCCTTTTGCTCTTAGAGATACTCTTTAATGGCGTCAGGTGTTGTTGCAGAAGTAGTTGAAGCTTTTGAGATTAATGATTCCGCTAATGATGTTTATCAACATAATTTCAAACATCGTCCTTATCAGGTTTCTTCTTTGTTCTCAAATTCATCATTTGTGAAATTGGTTGCTTATAAGCTTATATATGATTAATCGATAGAAGCATTGTTACATTTTCAAATTGTAGATGATGCTAGTTCTGTGAATTAGGCCATGATTTGTTCTTAGATTGTTGTTATTTGAAAATGTGCCATTGTGTTTCACGTTGCGGCGGTTAGGGCGGAAAAATCCGTTTGCGGTTCGGACCGCTTTTTATTTATCATTCATAACTATAATCCGTAGTAATGCAGATTGAAAAAAATAGAACAAGTCCGCCGCGAACTAACTACAGACCGTTTTTTACGTAGAAATAAACTTGGTCTCCCGCGGTTTGTTTTCTGCTCCGAAAATAGAGTGTTGTAGTCCACATTGCCCATAGCATCCATTTATACATTTTCCAGTATGGTCTCTTGATTTCTGTTTCGGAATCTTTATCGAATTCTTTTTGTTTTGTTTGTTACATAGGGAAATATTCAGAGTCTCACTGCTGTTGACTTAGATAAGTATAATGCAGATGCTTGGCTTCTTTCTCCTCCTTGTCAACCTTATACTCGACAAGGTGAATCACTGTTGTTTTCTTTACTATCAACATGACTTGCTTTTCTGTAGCAGATGTGTTGAGTACTAATTGTGTTTTTTGGTTAGGCCTTCAGAAACAATCTGGTGATGCTCGGGCTTTTTCGTTTCTCAGGATTCTCGAGCTTATACCGCATACGTCTAAGCCCCCACAGATATTGTTTGTAGAGAACGTTGTTGGGTTTGAGGTATGTGTTTGCTTGTGCTTCTCAGCTGGAGTTATAGTGAGATTTTTAACAATCATTTGTACTTGTTCTCGATCATCTTCTTTGAATTTGTGACATATTTAGTTATTGGTGGTGTTTGTTGGTGCAGACTTCAGATACTCATATGGAAATGATTGATACATTAACAAAGTTAAATTATGTCACACAAGAGTTTATTTTGAGTCCGTTGCAGTTTGGTGTGCCGTATTCAAGACCACGTTATTTTTGTCTGGTACTCTCTTTACCTTATGATTACGTAGTGCATTTGACGCATATCTGTGTACCTAAAACTGTTATTTCTAGTACTCTGAGAATGTATTGGTATATGCTGATTATGAAGCTGTAAAATTTTCTCATGTAGTGTGCACTTTGCGTATGAATTTCCGTTTCATTTCTATTTTCCTGCTTTTATCTTTTTCTTTTGGTTAAAACATCTCATGAACTTTAAAATCATTTGATTTATCTTGTTACTTTGCAGGCCAAAAGAAAGCCTCTGCCATTTAAGTCCCAACACAGTAATAACAAACTACTCTGGTCTCCAAGCCCGTTATATGGGTGTGATGATCAAGTGGAGGTTGGAAAATGTCAAGCAGAAGAAGGATTGGATAAATTACTTCAATTTTGCGAACCAGTAGAGAAGTTTCTCGAGTCAGCTGCACATGTTGATGGCGAGCCAAGTAGTGTTGATGACTCTGAGAATGGGTCCAAAGATTGCTATGGACAAGAAGACGATTCTGTGCCAGACTCTGTTCATCAATATCTAGTACCAGTAAGTTTGATAGAGAGATGGGGAAACGCAATGGATATTGTTTACCCTGATTCAAAGAGATGTTGTTGTTTCACAAAGAGTTATTATCGATACGTGAAGGGCACTGGTTCCCTATTGGCAACTGTCCAGGTACGTTCTTTCATGGAGTATACAATATTACTTTCCTCTCTATTTGCAAAGTGCAAAGAAATGCTTATCGTGAATCTGTGACCACACAGCCAAAAATCAAGGGTAAGGAATCTTGTTTGAAGGAGCAGCGGCTTAGATACTTCACCCCAAGAGAGGTTATAAGCACTGTCCTTTTTACTACCAATGCCTCACTGAAAAGTCAGCTTTATTTCAGTGAAAGATGATTTTTAGTTTCTATTTGATTAGGTAGCTAACTTTCACTCATTCCCTGAAGATTTTGTGTTCCCGAAGCACATAAGCCTTCGACAGAGGTACGCTGTTTCATACAATACACCATTTGAACCAAGATTATGTGCATCCAAGTACATAGCAGAGGCACCATTTTGATTTCGATACAGAATATAAACCCATAATATACTCTTATTTCTCATTACTTTGTGTTTGCAATGTGGAAATAGTTGAACACAAGAATGTGAAACCGTGCTTATAACAGACCGATGTTTCTGACTACACTGTTAAAAACTCCTCTTTGTGCAGATATGCAATGCTTGGAAACAGTTTAAGTGTAGCAGTCGTGGCTCCTCTGCTTCGGTATCTATTCGATTCTTGACTGCAAAACTGGAAGCAGTAAGTGACGCTACCAATTACCTGAACCAGCTATTCTCCCGAACAAGCTTCTCCTACGTTTTGCTACATCATATGACCATGTTCTTCAGTGAAACATAACCATATGCAACTGCTCTGTAATTTTAGGATAAGCTTTGCAATTCATATCATTAAATTTTGTGTTACTGATAGATGGTCATTAGCTACTGTTATGGACACAACTTATATGGGCTTGTCTTTCACGTGGGCCTTATCCGGCCCAGTAATAGATTTTTTTCCCAAAAGTAACATGAATTTGGCATGTCTGCGTCTCCTCTGTCTCTCTCTCTCTCTCTCTCTCGCAGCAAGGGGAAGCTTTCTTCGACTGTGAGTCTGTGACGGTGCGTGAACTTCACGCTCCGGTGATACCACCTAAGGTTAGTCTTCGGCGACGTTACTTTTACCTGATTACTTGCTTTTTACGCTTTATTCTTAATTTTTTCCGACCTGAGATATTTTCCTCATTTGTCCGTACAAATTGTTTGTTCATTTGTTCTTTTCCAATTCTTGACTCTGGTTTTAGTATCACTTGCAAGTAGGTCATCATACAAACCTCAAACTGGTCCAGGTTTGAAGAGAAAAATGTTGCCCAGGGGTGCTATTGATAAGATCCAAGGAAATGTGAGCAAGCCTTGCTTCTGGAAGTCTCTCTCCCCAGGACAGAATTGGAAATCTAAGCCCATGGTAACTTAGTTATGAATCTCTCCTCCTTTGATTTTTACTCACTGTTCTTAGACTCTTTCTATTGAATTTGCTTTGTTACAAGTTTGGTTTAAACATGTCCTCTGTCGAATTGCTTCTTCTGTTTGGATGTTGTTGCTAGAACAGTAAGATGTGATAATCCTTTTATGTTTAGTTTAACCCCTTTATAGACAAGTTATTATAGTATTACCCATTTGTTGTTGTTGTTTAAATAAGCTTAGATCTTTCTATCTTTTAAGAAACTTTGGAGAGATTTTAATGGCACAATGCTTCTTGCTTCTTGGTCTGCGTTGTCTTCATTTTGTGAACTTTTGTTACTTACTGACCTGTTTTATCTACTGTTATGGGTACTTTTACTTCACAGGTTTCATTCGCTATTAGCTCATGTTTATGCTAGTGTTGGTTCTAGTCCTTTTCTATGCATTCCTTGACCTACAAACCAATCGGTTAAGCTCGTGTTTTTGCTTCTTGTGTTTTCCTTTGGAAAGTTTTAGCTTTTAGTCTCATGTTACCTCTTTTTACTGTCTGTATTGTTTTGTTGTTGTCAACTGTTCTTATTGGGTTTATGAAGAGGATTATTCCAGAAGAGTTTGTGAGAAGAACGCCTGGGGCTTTTGAGCACAGAGTGGTGTTTAGTGTTCGTTGGGAAAATTCCTGGCAACTCTGGCTGGAGCGAGAGAAGAACGAGCTGTTTATGATAGAAGAGGATTGGAATGAGTTTGTAGATGACAATCACTTAGGTCCAAATGATAATTTGTTCTTCAGACACGATGAGACGATGAATCTTGAAGTGCAAATCTTTAAGAATAATGGGGACGAGATCATCGATGTACCTCTTGAAGTTGAACCCGAAACAGAACCATTTCATCCTACGCCCAAGAAATCTCACAGGGAGACAACCGCTGCCTCTGCCTCTGTCTCAGGCGGCTCTGGTAAGGCTATTCAAGAATCATCAAACTCAAAACTGTTATTTGTTCTTTATGTCAATGTTTGATTCTTGTTGTTTCTGTTTTGGCGGAATTCTCAGCAAATGGAGGAACAAATTGCCGAGGAAGACAGCGTTCTAATGATGTCAAAAACCCTGAGCGATACCTCTTGAATCCCGAAAACCCTTACTTTGTGCAAGCGGTGACAAAAAGGAATGACGTTCTGGTAATCATAACAGTTTACATTGTCAGTTTTTGTATTCCATAAAATTTACCAGTTTATATCTGTGGCCTTAAAGCTTAGACTTGTCTTTGTTTCCCACTGTATGCCCAAGTAGTATGTGAGCCGACCGGTAGTTCAGACGTATAACTTGAAGTTTGGTCCGGTTAAGTCCACCATTACCTACCTTCTTCCCGGGGGAAAAAAAGAGGAAGGAGAAACTAAGATCTACAACGGGCAACCTTGTTTCAGTGGCTGGTCGGTTCTATGTCGAAGGCACAATCTGAAAATCGGAGACTCGGTGGTTTGTGAACTTGAACGCTGTGGTGGTCTGGTTACGGCTGTTAGAGTGCATTTCGTCAATAAATACTAGACCAATCCTCTCTAGTAGTAACAAAAATGTTATTAATAACTTTCATTAGTAATGCTTAAATGTGACAATCATGTTTTAGTTTAACGAACTTCTATGTTTTTAGATGTCTCTGACTCTTAGTACAAAGTACAAACCATTTGGAGAATACTTGTTTTGTCAATTCGCTTGCTATCTATTGTAGAATAATGTGGGCCATTTTGTTAATGGGCCATACCCGGCCCATTAATATAGTTTGGCACAGTGTTGAGTTTCTCTCTTTCTCAAAGCAGAGATACTTAAGGGAGAAGAACAGACGCAGCAGCGAGAGGAAGCTTCTTCGACTCTGACGGTGCGTGCATTTCACGCTCCGGCGACGTTATTTTTATCGCTTTTTACGCATTTTTCTGTATTTTCTTCTGACCTAAGATATTTTCCCCTTTGACCGTACAAATTTGCTTCTTTCTTCGTTTCTCTCTCTCTGTCTCTCTCATTAGTCACCATTTTCATGTACTCTGCTTTATATAATAACTTTAGGGTTTAGCTAATGAAAGTAAAAAAAGTGAAATAACGCATTAAAGGTTTGATTTTTATCCAGTTTTACTGTTTTCTTTGATTTCATTACATGCAAGTCATCTTCGTCTTTGTTTATGAACCCTAATTCTCAGAATCGATCCAGGTTTCGAAGAGAACAAAATGTTGCCTAAGAGTGTTACTGATAAGATTCAAGAAAATGTGAGCAAGCCTTGCTTTTGGAAGTCTCTTTCTCCAGGACAAAACTGGAAATCTAAATCCATGGTAACTCAAACTTTGTCTCTCCTCTTTTCTAATCTTTTGATGTTATTGACTCTTTCCATTGATTTTCTTTGTTTGCCCTAAAGATCTATTGTTCGTTTGTTGTTGTTCAAAAAAGCTTAGATCTTTCTATCTTTCAAGAAACTTTTGAGGAGATTTTAATGGCAGAATGGCTCCAGCTTCTTGTTCTGCTTTGTCTTTATTTTGTGAAATTTCTTGTTACTTATTGACAAGCTCGTGTTTTAGCTTTTAGTCTCATGTTTCCTTCTTCTAATGTCATTATCGTTTGTTGTTGTCAACTGTTATGATTTATGGGTTGATGAAGAGGAGTTTTCCGGCGGAGTTTGTGATAAGCATGCCCGGGTCTTTAGAGCACAGAGTGGTGTTTAGTGTTCGTTGGGGCAATTCCTGGCAACTTTGGCTGGAGCGAGAAAAAGAAGATCTGTTTATGATAGAAGAAGATTGGGATGAGTTTGTGAATGACAACCATTTAGGCCCAAATGATAACTTGTTCTTCAAACACGATAGCACGATGTTTCTTGAAGTGCAAATCTTTAAGAATGATGGGAAAGAGATCATCGATGCACCTCTTGAAGTTGAACCTGAAACTGAACAACTTCATCCTACTACACCCAAGAATTTTCACAAGGAGACAACCCATGCCTCTGCCTCTGCTTCTGGTATGGATATTCAGATTGATTGAATCGTTTTGATGCTCTTCAAAGTTCAAACTTAATACTATACTTTTCCTTTTACTCGAATGCCAAAGTTTGATTCTTTTTGTTTATGATTTGGCAGAATTCTCAGAAAATGGTCCAGAGAGACAGGGTTGTGTTGATGTCAAAAACCCCGAGCTATATCTTCTAAACCCGAAAAACCCTTACTTTGTGAAAACGCTGTCGAAAAGGAATGACGTTTTGGTAATAATAGCAGTGTTTTCATCAGTTTTGAGTCTAGTTTATGTCTGTTGCCTATCTAAGACTTGTCTTTTCTCTCTATTTCACATGTATGTGCAACTAGTATGTGCCCAAACCGGTGATTAAGAAGTATGGCTTGAAGTTTGGTCCCACTCATTCCCCGATGCATTACCTTCTTCCCGGAGATAAAATCAATGGCTTGACTAAGCTCTATGGTGGTGGCGATGCCCCTTGTTTCAATGGCTGGGTGGGTCTATGTCGAAAGTACAATCTGAAAACTGGAGACTCTGTGGTTTGTGAACTTGAACGCTCAGGAGATCTGGTTACTGCTGTTAGAGTACATTTCATCAATGAAAATATGAGATAAGTCCTCTCTAGTCTAATGTTTATATGTGACCCTTATGCTTCTGTTGCTTTAGTGCAATAGTAGTCCAACTAAAGAGCTTGCGTTTGACTTGGTAGGATATGCATAAACTTTTATTGTAAGTTTTGTAACTCTCCATAAAAATCAAAAGGCCTAGATACATAAGATAATGGCAACGTTTCTTTTGCCTTCTCATACAAGAAAATACAATATAAGCAAAGGCCCATGTGCCTATATAAAACCCTAACCTCTGTCTTTTCACTTTCTCTTTAGAATAAAATCAAAAACTCACCAAAGACAATTTAAGAAATAAGAAAAGACCACACGCTGCATTTTCTTGTAATAGGATTTGTGATTCATCTATGGTTTACGAACGCTTATAAGCTTGACATCGTCGATGACAGGCCCACACAATGACGAGAAATCATCGCTTCTCATGGCATAGAAAGTGCTGTAGAACATAATTCTTGATCGGCTCGAAACCGCCACAAACCGGATAGAAGCTCGTTTAAACCCTCCGGTGCCTTGCGACTCGTAAGGGACCTTAAGTGTCTCTTTTCCCGCAAAAGCCTCAACCACCATTGATCCTTTGCAAGCATTGTTGGCGTCTCCAACCGCAAAAGACAGCACGTAAGTTTTCCCAATGATGGTACGAACCACTTGAGCAATGGCGCTCTCTTTACCCGCTACAAGCTCAATAGCTCGGCGACCCTGTGGGACTGAGAAATGCTCAATGTCTACGTACTTGACAGCCTTGAGAGACTCCACCATCCAGCCAGGTAAAGGAGAGTGGTCATCTTCTATGAACGGTGGGATCAAAACTCCCGTTGTCGCGCCTGGTAGTACTAATGGACCTTCTTCAAATCCTCCGTTTTTCAAAATGTTCTCTGCCATATCAAACATAGAAAAATCATCACTATTCCATATATATCATAACACCAAATGTTCAAGAATCATAAAAGCAGAGTATTTATTATAGTAATTAGCTTACTATTAGTTGGTCGTGGAGGGTAAAGAGATCTCATGGCGACACCATCAATAAGTGGACCACAAGCTGGATCTTCCTCAACACCAGGATTATGAATCACAACTTCAGCAACTTCACTCTCAGCTTGAAACGCCCAAGCATACAAATCCCACCCACTACTACTATAAACCGTCTGCACCGGAATCACACCGGAGTCAGGTGCTACAGATATGTTAAGTCTCTCGTCTTGAGCACAAGTCCTAGCAGCACTAAAAGTGAGCGAGTAATACATTCCTTTAACCACTTTAAGTCTTTGTTTGATCGATGCTTCGTTCCCTAGCCGGACTGCGAATTTACCGGCGGGAACAACGAGAAGCATGTCTCCTTGTTTATGTCCTGATTTGATGTATTCGACGAATCCTGTGACTTCCCAGTTTGGTATTGCTAGTTTGTTTAGTATTTCTGTTCCTTTCATGTCTGATGGTTTTGGTCCTAGCTCGAAGTCTCCGTTTGGTAACATGCCTGTGGAAATGACCGAATTGTCCTTGTGAATATTAGGAATTTTAAAAAAGAAAAAGATTTATAGAGCACGTGAGGTGTGTCCGAAGACAGCCTAACTGGTCCTAAGGTAACATGAACTAAAGGACCTACTCTCAACTTCATTGATTGGAAATGTCCAAAAACTTTAGTGTGTTGTGTTTGTGTCAGAAACATGGGCCAAAACTGTAATTTTTATTACATTGGCTTCTTAAAAAATCTAAATTCTAAAGCGTAACAAAACGATTTTTTTTTTTCATTTTTGTTTGTTAAAATAAGTACTATCGCTAGCAGAGGCAGGTTCGTACGAGTGATATCATCGTAACCAACCACTTTGAAGAAATTTAATGAAATTTTTTGGTTTCCAGCATTATATTGATTATTCATATCACAAATATAATCAAAAGATTTTCTTTTCTCGATTCTTTATAAAATTCTGAGTAAATGAGTTTTTGTTCCCATTAATTTGTGAGAAAAGAAAATATGTGAAAAAAGAAATGAAATTGCCATAATTTACTGTACATAAAGGTTGGAAATTGGAATTGGGGTACAATTTAAGTTTTTTTTCTTCTTCAAAGTAATTTTAAGATACTTTAAAGTAGTAAATCGGAATTGGGGAAGAAAAATGCATTTATGTAATGAATTTTTGTGAATGTATGGGTGTAAAAAAAGTTACCGTCACGGAAGGAGACGGTGGACTTAGAGGCGGTTGCGGTGGCGATGAAAAGAAGGAAGAAGGACACGACGGTGACGCCTCCCATTTTGACGGAAGAGAGAAAGAGATGAGTGTAAAATGTAATTGGCAAAGAGAGTTGTGGCTATTGCTTATAAGGAGAGGGAGCTATAAAAATGACCTTGGAGGTTGTAATATATTACGAGTGTGTGCCACTGAGGCTAGTTGGAGTATCCCACGTGGGGTTGTGACGCTATTCCTTTCCAGAGATTTGGAACCTTATTGACCATTTGGGGTTACTTCAGGAATTAAAATTTTGTAAAAAAAAAAGTATTTTTGCTGTTTATATAGTCAAGCTCTGTTTAGGCGGTGACTGAGGAAGCCAGAAGTGTCCAATTGGGACATGTTTATAGATGATTAGAGGTAATTGCGTATAAACAGGTAATGGGCGGGAGTATTTAAATGTACTACTAGAAATATACGGAATAAAATACTAAACTTATTTAAATACGGTAACGGATCGAATTCGGATAATTTTAATCGTTAAATTTACAAATCGAATTTTCTTTTGATCAAGATCACATCTTTAAAATATGAATATTTCGAATAATTTTGAGAAATTTAGAATATGTTCTAATATCTATTTCTTTTTTTTTTTTTTCTTTTTTTTGTTCATCCGAAATTAATCTATTTCATTATACATGTTTGTTAGGTTAAATTAAATTGTCGATTTTTTTTAATGGGTATAGGACGGACAGACGGACGGTGAAAAATAACACGGGACAGTTATATTGCAGAACATGGTTATATGACGGGACGTGTTTGAATAAAAAAAATTTAAACATCATTAACCCGCTGCTTCAATACGGATTAAATCTTCATTTTATTATTTTTAACACTACCAATATTAGACATATTGAATGATCCTGATTAAAATAAAATTATATAAAAAATAAATTATTCTATGATACACCGTTATTAAATAATTCTAAATTATAAAATATAAATATCTTATAAATTGATACAATTTTCAACTTTTATATATAATATATAACAATTAAATTAAAAAATATTAATTTTAAAAACAAATCGCCCGCGGTATACCGCATGTTAAAATCTAATACTAAACTTATTAAAATACAGTAACGGAGCGGATTCGGATAATTTTAATCGTTAAATTTACAAATCGAATTTTCGCTAGTTTTGATAAAGATCACATCTTTTAGATATGAATATTTCGAATAATTTTGAGAAATTTAAAATATGTTCTAATATCTAATTCATTATACATGTTTGTTAGGATAAATTAAATTGTCGACTTTTTTTGAATGGGTATAGGACGGACCGACGGATGGTGGAAAAAGTGTTGCAAAACTGTCATAGACTAAAGTAGGCATGGGCATATGGGTAATCCGTTCGGGTTCGGGTTAAATGGGTAATAAATTTACGACCCATTCGAGTATTTCTAAACATTCGGTTTCGGTCCGGTTCGGATATTGTCGGGTTCGGGTCGGTTTTGGTAAAAAAATTTAGACCCTATAAATACCCGAAAAATATGGGTACCCGTTCGGTTCGGGTATTTTATATGTAAAATGTCGGGTTTTGTACGTAAAATATCGGGTACTCGAAAAAAACTTTAAAAATTTGTTAAATTTTAATAAATTTAGTTATATTTGAATACATTTTGCTAAATTTTGACAAACATAACAAATAATTTTTGGATAGTTTGGTTGTTTTGGGTATTTAAGTCTAAAGTTAATTGACGTATTTAGATTTATAATTGTAATTCTAGATTATTAAATTATATTAAAATTATATATACTTAATATTTTGGATATTTAATTATATGTTCGGATATTTGGGTACCTTGTTTGGGTAATGGGTAATACTCGGACCGATCCGATACCTACGAGTTTACAAAAACTGTACCCAATGAAATAATTTCCTCTTATCCGTACCCGCACCGAACCGGCTTTTTCGGTCTGGGTATCGGTCCAGATTTTGGATCCGGTTTTTTTGCCCAGGCATAGACCAAAGACTACCAAAAACAAAAACACTAAATATACTATAAACACTTACGTCTAAGATTGTGAAAATAATTGACATTTTTCTTTGGCAATCTTACATCTGAATCTACGTGACAAAGATGATTAATTATGATAATAGCTAGGAAATGCCAAATTGGTCGTTTAGATCATCGGTGGAGAGATACTATTACTAGGAGAATCGTTTATCGTGGCATGTGTTACACCACTTACACCCAAAAATATTTTCCTTTCGAAACTTTTTTTTTTTTTTGTCTTCTTGGTGCGCTTTTTTGTTTTGTTTCTTGGCTGTATTTTGAAAATAATAAAATTGAGAAATGTGTATGGTATTAAGGGCGCCGTTCAGTGGCTAAGAATGCGGTTTCCAAAGTCGGCCATGAAATTGTCCTCAGAAAAATTCAGAATGGTGTCTTCTTCTCATTCTTATCGGCCCAAGAACCGGGAATTGTATTATTTTCATTTTTAAAATTATCCAAATTCACTTCTAACTGTCTTAATGTTCGGTTTTTGGACTGTAGCACCGCCAAAACCACCAATATATGCATTTCTTACTCTTACAGACCAGTTTTTTATAATTCTATATAATGTGCTTTATGTTCTCGGTCTTAAATTGTATGTTTATCTCAGTGGCCAAATCATTAAACTAACTAGATGTGTAACATGTGTTGCTCTCTCCTTATTGTTATGTTCTGTGTGTGTTGTAAGAACGCTTTACGAAGACGCTCGCTCACTAGAACATGTGTATGTGTTGAGAATGAGGAGGTACGCCACTTCACATCAGTGGCGGAGACAGAATTGTTTTTAACCGGGGTCAGAAAAATATTTAAAAAATAGTTTACAAACTCTTAAAGAAAAAATTTATAACAAGCATATCATATCCCAAAAGAATTAGAATTTTTTAGAAAACAATAAAAGCAAAGGAAGTATCCTTGATTTAAAGAGGCCAAAAATTTAGGGGTTTTCTCCTTCGTCAATAGGAGAGGAAGAGACAATAGACTTTGTTTATTGTTTAGTTTACTATCAGAAATATAATTTAGGTGTATTTCTTTGTTAATCCATGTAAATCATTAAAAATTGTATTATTCTTTTGGGTTTCGTTTGTAAGTGGAATCAATTTTTGAAAATATTGGACTTTTTATGTAAGTAAATTAGTTTTGGATTGGTTCAATGGGGTCAATTGATAATTCTAGTTGGGTTCATTAGTTTTAACATTAAAACATATAACAGAATTTTAGAAAGTAGTTGTGGTCAGCTGATCCCATTATCTATATGGTGCCTCCGCCCCTGCTTCACATGGTCATGGTCGCATCCTCGCATGGGCAAATGTTCTAACGTTGATATGGCATCAAAGATTTGGACACCTTTCTATTAATATACCTTTTCTTTTCTTTCTTTCTAGGAAATAGTATAGTATTGCGCGCATTAATTTCAATACTATAGTAGTCTCTTGCGTTAGTTGTTTGGTGTAAAAATTTCAAAATGCCAATTAAATATATCAATTGAAAGCTTATGAAATTTAACAACTTTGATCATCTATAAAAAAAGTAACACGTAGCTCCAATGAAAGAATTGTTTCTGATGGATCCAATATAAATCTTGATTAATTACGACTTTAAGACCCAAGTTCGGACAAACTACAATTACTATTTAAAATGTTGAATCTAAAAAAGAAATATTAGAGTATAATACGATGGAGAGAAGAACCGAAAAAAGACGAGGAACCGTCGAAAACGTGGGTGGGGCATGGGTAACGAACGCAGTGGAACCCATAGAAAAAAGAAGAGATCATAGCAAATGGCAGGATCATGGCTTTGTCTCCTCGTCCTTGTACACTTCTTTTACTCTTTCACGGGCCCATTGCCTCATGACTCGATCTCTTGTACAAAAAAAGCTATCGATAACCTTTTTTTATATATTAGTAGGTCCGTTATAATTATAGAATTTATATTAGTAAGGACAAAATACTATTTGAGGTACGTTGTATTCATATAATTTACGTAGTATTTATTAGGTAGGGAAGTTGAATCCAAAAATTTTGTTTGATTTCGGTTCCAGATCTTAAGAAAATGTGTAAAAAGTTTTCAATCTTTATAACAAAAAAAGGTTCAAATCGATTTTTCGGATCAAATCGCTTTTTGTTCGAGATAAAAAATCTCTAGTACTATTATTAGGTAAATCAATTTAAAAATGTATAGTTCAAAACCAAAGTCAACAATATAGACAGTTAAGTTTTGAGCATGATACTGAATTTCTTTATTGTGCAAAGATACTGAAAATTTAAGTTATTAGAAACCGTTTTTTTTTTTAATTCTCACTTTTTGAATTATGCATAATCTTAGTTTGCTGCTCTAAATTCGAACTTAGAAGCACCAAAATCCTCTCAAAAACCGCATAAGAGACAAATGATAGTAAGACTGATTGGTGGAACTGTTGCCATAAACTATTGCTTTAACATTTAGCTACATAATTTTTGGCTTTTGGAAAATATGAGTACAACTATATAAAAAAATAATGCAATAGAATAAAGAAGTTAATAAATCTCCACAAAACAAAACAAAAAATAAACTATTTAATAATCATCGATAATTATTAATTATTGGCAATTTGGCATTTGGCAAGTGAGAGAAAAGAATAGGAGGAAGTCTACTCACATTTAATTTAACATTGTCATTTTTTTTCTGTTAAGTAATTCATTAATGAATTAGGCCAAGGACCCTCCTGTGCTAATGTGACTCACATGGAAATGTCTTCAAATACAAATCCATATCGTTCTCTACTGACACCACTCTATTAAATACTTTAATACCTTATCTTATATACTTATCTACCTCAACACTTATTCACCAGACCGTGCAAAGCATCGTTGATTCATGTAAAAATTGTTTAAAAGTGGCATCTTTTGAGGAGTTATGTAAACATTAACACTTACCTCCTTTGTGTTGCACCAGGACTCTATTTTATGCAATCCATATCTCATAAAACAGCAAGAAGATAATGCTTTAGTTATAGTGCAAGAGACTAACAAGCTTAAGGAATGGTTCTTTGGTAGAGAGGTAAAGCTCCTAAAGCCTCTCGCTCAGCTCTCTCCCGCTTCACTTGCAAATGAAGTATCGTGTGTAAGAACTTTGCAATAGTATTCCCCAACACTACAAGATAGAGAAAAGTTCATGATACAAGTTCATTAAGAATAAGCAAGTAGTGGATGGAGAAAACATATATAGTTTTGATCATTAGCAGCAGAAGATATCAATATGAATATTTGTGTATATTATATCGAAATTGGGTATTTTGCACTGACAGAAGAAAGATAGGCTTAATCCTGTTTTTCGTCTTACTAGAAGTTACATATGTTACAATATTACACAACTTATAAGGTTAAGATTATGATATAAAACTATACTATGGAACCAAAAAGCTAATTATGTAAGGTTTGTTCGCATAAGGGCTCTTTAAACACAAGAGTATTCTTGATCCTTATACAAGTTTTATGTTCAATCTTGCAAGATCCATTTAAACTACAAACTTGAATACTTTTATGGGGGATTATCAAATTCCTCAATATGTTGCAACGATACACTATGTCTCATTGATCTAAACGACTAAAAACATATGCCTTAGACCATATTTTTATCAAATATAGAAAAAAATTGGTGGTTCCCTTGTTGACATTTTCCAACTCGTTGACATTTTATAACACGTTGACATTTTAACAAATTGACTTAGACGTCCATATACTCGATGGATCATTCCCGAACCTTGAAGCTCGATGGATTAGATCTAGATAAGTACGGAAAATATTTTTCTTCCTCAAAACTCTGTTTCACTGTCAAGAAAGCGGATAGTATCGGCATGGGAAACTGTTTCTCCCTTTTAACCGAAAGATTTGCTACAAGTCCAGGTATATATATATGAATCTGTGTGTTTACTATGTGATAATGTGTAGATAGATATTGTTAAGCTCTAGATGTCAATGTGCAGTGGAGGAAGGTGTGAAAGTATTCACTATGGTGGAGCTGAAGAAAGCGACCAAGAATTTCGGAAAAGAGAGGGTAATAGGAGACAGCTATGGCGAAGTAGTGAGGGGATATATCAATCCCAAGACTTTATCTCCAGCTAAGGAAGGTGTTGGCATGGCCGTCGCCGTTAAGAGATTTTACTTAAAATATGAGGAAGCCTTGCAAAAGTGCCTTGTAAGTAGTTATCATCTACGAGAGACTGTATCACACATGTATAGATATCGTTGTGTTCTCAACATTACAGCTGAGGTTTTGTAGGTTGACTTGGAGATTCTGCGACATAACTCTCATCCAAGCTTGGTGAAGCTCATTGGTTATGGTTATGGTTATGATCATGAAAAGTTGTTCATTGTTTCTGAATACTTTCCAAACGGAAGCTTAGAACGTTACATTTTTAGGAGTAAGCAAGCTAGAAAATTGTATTGAGCGTCTTTTTTAGATTCATCTCTTTTTGGCCTTAATGTGTTGTATCGTATAACAGAGAGTCGTCCAAAGTCATTGCCGTGGGAGACACGGCTTAAGATATCAATAGAAGGGGCTCGGTGTCTTGCCTTCTTGCACTCTAGGAAAAAAGACGGTCTCTATCGCACATGTCTCACTGCTTGTAATATCCTGCTTGATTCGGTATGGATTCGCTTACCATTTTTTTGAATACTTCCTCCTTAACTTACAAATGATAGCTATGGGGGGTATGCAGGAGTTCAACGCAAGAGTTTCTTGTTTTAGACTCAAAATGGTAGATTCTCTCGAAGACTGTTCACACACCCCCTCTTATGCCGATGGATCATCCAGAATTTACTATGCACCTCTTGAATACATATTCTCAGGCAACAATCTTCTGTTTCCTCCTTCAGTTCTCTCTCAAGTTAGAAATGACCATTAAATTCGAACACTAACCTTAGACTGATGCAGGGATATCGCACATGGCAGGCGATGTATACAGCTTCGGTGTTATACTACTTGAGATCTTAACTGGTTTGAGAAACCCGTGCATCATCCTAGCAAAGCAAGCAACACAAAATGGAAAAGAAAACATTGCAGAGATGATTGATCCAGATTTAGAGAATAGCTATCCTCTTGCAGCGGGAAAACTTATGTGCGAGCTTAGTAAACAATGCCTTGAGGACAACCCGAAGATAAGACCAACCATGCAAGAAGTGCTAGATAATCTGAATGCTATAGGCCAGATTTGAGAGGACAAACTATATAAGGGTTATAAATTCTGAAAACATTGTTCCCACTATAAGATAGTTATAATATAGTCAAACTATGCATATGCACAATATACAACACTGAAAAGGATTGTGGTTCAAAGGTTACACGCCTCTCTCCAGAGCTCCTCTGAGGAACTTTGAAAACATTCCCAAAAGCTAGCTTAAGGGATTGAGTGTACTTAGGTCTTTTATATAGCATTGATTTACTCTCCTCCTATCCGGTGTGGGATATTTTACCCGTATCTCTATAATAGCTCAATCAAGCTTACATTACACATCCAATTCAATATCATATAATGTCTTACATAAGTTCAGTGTTCACATGAACCATACATAACCATACAATAGCAAATTGAGGCCTAAAGAGTACTAAAACAGAGAGAAGATTAGGATCTGTTTGGTTAAATGACCCTACTATAAGCACAAGAGAGACAAACTCACAAACATGCTTAAGGAATGGTTCTTTGGTAGAGAGGTAAAGCTCCCAAAGCCTCTCGCTCAGCTCTCTCCCGCTTCACCTGCACATGAAGTATCATATGTAAGAACTTTGCTATATGAATCTTCTCACCACTACAAGATAGATAATACCAAAGTTCATGATACATAATTCATTAGACGGCGAAAACAATGGGACTTATTCAATCTTGATCATTAATCTTGCAGCACAAAATATGAATATGACTACAAAATTAGTAACCCTGTTTTCGTTCTTACGCAAAATTACATGGGACTTACAAGTGCCAAAATGTCTTGGAGGTAACTCCTGAATGGTGTCTGCATTGCCTGTGAAATTACAGAGACAAAGAAAGAAAAAAGGATTACATAAACTTCTATCTCACAGCTAAAAGAACTTCACTATCTCAAAAACACTTCTTTCATGGACTACTACTATATTTGGAAAGCTTCCCTCAACCACAAGGAACCAAAAGGTTTATTGTGTTCACCAAAACAGCTCTTTGAAGACAGAGTGTTCTTGATCCTAATACAAGTCTTAAGTCCATAGCTATATAACTCTTAACTCTGTTCTCACTTAGTTAGAGACATACATACCTGAAGATTATCTGGGAGGTACTCGTGTTTCATAGAAAGATCCATTGCACGCTTTAAACGCTGGTTCCGAGCATCAACGATCTCTCTCGGTAACCGATTAAGAGCTTCCTTAATATCCAAGTCATACAAAGGATCATATAGATCGTCGTATCTAAGACCTAAAATTCGTAAAATCCACAAAATTCCCAAAATCAGCCAGGAGAAGAAAACTAGGGTTTGGTTTCTAGGGTAAGAGAGAAAGAAACAGTACCGTATCTGCGAAGGCGATTAGAAACAGACTTCATATGCATACGAGCTAAGAAATTCTTCCTGGGATCAACTAGTCTCTGGAGAAACGACGCCATTATCTTCTTCGATTGTGTTGAAACTTGAAACCTTTCGCTGTTTGTAATTTAACCCGGGAACGAAGGAGGAAGAAGCATCCAGAGACATCTGATTAAACGGCGTCGTACGTAACTCTTACTAAAAACGGCATCGTATGTACTCTTATTAAAAACCAGCGTCGTATGATTCGCCGAATAAAACGTTTGTCATCGTTGACTTTTAACGCGTTTGCGTTTACTTACCAACGCGTTTACTAATTACTAGTTGGTCGATTTAAGATTTCGTATTCTCCATCAAACTTTAGTGTTAAGAAAACTTTCAGATTATTGGAATGGGAAATTGTCTCTCAGCTTCGACACCTCCCACCCAACCAAATGCTCCCATTTCAGGTATTTAAATTAATCTCTGCGAATTGAAGTATTTTGATTGATTTGAATGTTACTATAATGGATACATATATATAAGTTTTGTTATAATATATGTATAGTGGAGGAGGGTGTGAAAGTCTTCACGGTGGCAGAGCTGAAGAAAGCGACTAATGATTTCGGAAACCAGATGGAAATAGGAGAGAGCTTGGGATATCTCAATCCCAAGACGTTGTCTCCGGCCAAGAAAGGTGTTGGCATGGCCGTCGCGGTCAAGAAAATTTACCTAGCCAATGAACAAGCTTTTCAAGATTGGCTTGTAAGTAATTATATCATCTACGTACCAAACAGATTCATATATATATGTATGTGGATAAAGTTTCTTATTAACTTTTTTTTCTTTAAAAAAATTGGACTTTTTTATCTTAGGAAATTTTATTGATGTTTTTGGACCCATAATAAACGCTTATGTTGCCTAGAGACGGGCATGTATGTCTTAACATTAGAGCTGATATTTTTGTAGGTTGACGTAGAGTTTCTAAGACATAATTCTCATCCAAGCTTGGTGAAACTCATTGGCTATGGTTATGATCGTGATATGTTGTTTATTGTTTCTGAATACTTTCCGAATGGAAGCTTAGGAAGTTACATCGATAGAGGTAAGGAAGTTAAGTTTATTCATCTTCTTTTCTTCATTATATTTTGTAAGTAGAGTCAGTGCCGGCCCGATCAATTTGGGTGCCCTAAGCAAAATTAAAGCCTATAAATTTTTTTTTTTTTAAATTAGATTTTTACCCTTGAAAAAATGTTGTAGTTGTCTCTAAAAACCCACAATATTTTTAAAAGGCCCTACAAAAATTATTGTATATAAGAAAACTTAACAAATTTTTAGGTAAAAAGGCCCTCAAAATTTTGAGACCCTAATCGGTGGCTTCACTGGCTTGTCCTCTCCGCCGGCCTGAGTAGAGTCAAAGCAAGAAGATTATTTGTTGCTCTTAATAAAGAGCTTTATAAAATAGATAAATAAGATAAAAAAATGAGACAACTCCTTAGAGCTTTATTTACTGTAAGAGAGGAAAAGACTAATTGAAAGCTAAATGATTCTTGGATTAATAATTTTATATCTCCGAAGAAAGAGAGTTGCTCAAAGAGGCAACTCTTCTTATAGTTAACTTCATATATTGATGTTCGTTACTATATATATATATATATATATATATATATATATATATATATATATTTGAATCTACTTTCTTGAATAACTTAACTACATGAGTTTGTATTGAATTGGTCTAAACTTATAACCTTGGGCTTGTCATGTTTGATTCAATACATTTACCATTGTGTGTCCACATTTCACTAGAAGTACTAATTCAGGGTGAACAAAGTTTTATTTCTTGCAAGCTCACCACATGTTAATTGTTAAACACCCGAGCGAAAATCGAAGTGGTCCACACGCAAAGTTTGCTCACAGTAGAATGTGGAATCCAATTCTGGAGCTGTCATACGCTCTTAACCTTAGATCCAATACTAATTCATCTTCCTTTTGGCTTTATTAATGGTTTATACAATATCACAGATAGTCGTCCAAAGTCATTACCGTGGGAGACACGACTCAAGATATCCATAGGAGCGGCTCAGTGTCTTGCCTTCTTGCACTCTAGGAAGCAAGCCGGCCTCTACCGCAGATATCTCACTGCTTCGAAAATCCTGCTCGATTCAGTACAGATTCACCTTGCTTTTTTTTTTTTTTCTTGATTACTTGCTCCTTACCTTACAAATGACATGTATTGGATATGCAGGACTTCAACGCAAGAGTTTCCTATTTTGGAAAGCCAAAAGTTTCTCTCGATGAACTGGTACACACCAGAGGGTTTGCAAATGTAGCACCTAGATATCAATACCCACCTCCCGAATACATACTCTCAGGCAACAATCTTCTGGTTCATCCTTATATATATCTTAAAGTTAAAAGTGACCATTAAATTCAAAGAGACTAACTTTAATTGATTGCAATAACCAAATGAAGGGATGTCAAACATGGCGGGCGATGTGTACAGCTTTGGTGTTATACTACTTAAAATGTTAACTGGTTTAGGAAAGCACCTTATAATCTCAGTAAAGCGAGAGATAAAAAATAAAAAGGACAACATTGAGGCGATGATCGATCCAGATTTGAAGAATAGCTATCCTCTTGAAGCGGGAAGACTTATGTGCGAGCTTATTAAACAATGCCTTGAGGTAGACCCGAAGATACGACCAACCATGCAAGAAGTGCTAGATAATCTGAATGCTATAGCCCTGTTTTGAGGACAAATTATATTAAGGGTTATAAATGCTGAAAACATTGTTTCACTATAAGACAGTTATAACAACTCGTATATGACGAGAAGTGTTAAGAAACAAAACCTAATTCTCCTTTCTTATCCACTCAAGAACAGATCTAAGCTAATCAACTTTGAATCTTTACACTAATACAATGATCACTATTTTCTTCGACCTCTCTCTTTAAGAAAGCGACTAAGTATTTGGGAAAGGGGATGATAATAAGATAGTGCCTCGGAAAATCCACAATAATGAGGGGATACATCAATCTCAAGACGTTATCTCTGGCCAAGGAAGATGTTGGCATAGCCGTCACCGTTATGACTTATGAGTTATCACTCAGCCGATGAACAACTTTTTCAAGAGTGGCTTGTAAGTAATTATCATATCTACAAGACATTTATATCTATGTTGCTAGGTTTAAGTTGGAGCTGAGTCTTTGTAGGCTGAGGTAGAGTTTCTACGACATAACTCTTATCCAAACTTGGTGAAGCTCATTGGCTACGGTTATGACTTATGACCGTAATACATTGTTCATCGTTTCTGAATATTTTCCAAACGGAAAGTTAGAGCGTCACATCTATAGAGGTAACGAAGTTAAATACAAAGTTTATTCGTTATCTTTTTGGATTTAATAGTTCATATAAATATCACAAAGACTCCTCCAAAATCATTACCGTGGGCGACACGGCTTAAGATATCTATAGGAGTGGCTCAGGGTCTTGCCTTCTTTCACTCTAGGAAGAATACCGGCCTCTACCGTGGAAATCTCACACCCGTTAAAATCTTGCTAGATTCGGTATGGATTTGCCTCGGCTTTTCCCTACCTTACTATATGGCATGTATTGATAATGTAGGATTTCAGCGCAAGAGTTTTTTTATTTTGGACTCAAGTTGATAGACTATGAAGAGCAAGTCTTTTCATATGTAGATGAACCAGCTAGATGTCACTACACACCTCTCAAATACATAGGCTCAGGCAACAATCTTTTGCGTCCTCTTTCTCTCTTAAGCTACAATGACTATTAAAGTTTAAAGACACTAAGTTTTACCAATTTTGCAATTACCATATACATGCAGGGATGCGAATAGCGTGCGATGTTTACAGCTTTGGTGTTATACTACTCGAGATCTTAACTGGTCTTGAAATTACGCGCATTAACCTTGCAAAACAAGTAATACGAGATGACAAGGTATTCATGGCGGAGGTGATCGATTTGGATTTAGAGAATATATATCCTTATGAAGAGGGAAGACCTATGTACAAGATTATAAAAAAATGCCTTAAGCGTCACCCGTATAAACGACCTCTGATGCAACAAGTACTGGATAATTTGAATGCGATAGCTCAGATTTGAGGACAAACTAAGGGTTATAACTGCTGCCAACATAGTTTCACTATAAGGAAAACCATAACATAGTCAATGTATGTGTATACAAAAACAGCTGCAAAAGATTATTTTTTAATGTGGTTCAAAGGTTACACGCTTCTCTTCAGGCTCCGGATGCACCTGAAACAAGATTCTTGTTTATGCATTTTTTTAATATCAATTCTTGGATTGAGTATAATAAATATGAAAGATTTTGATTACCTCTTTAAAACTTATGGTTCGGATCCTTATTTCACCTCTGCTTGTAGTCAGCTCATCCAATATCTCCGCGTCGTAGAATTCATCTTCACCTTCTGATAAATGATGAGAAGACCCTAGTTTCTGCTCACGAAACAGAAACCTCTTGACTCAATTGAAAGTTTGAAACTCATTAAGAGACCAGAACATACAAAAGCGAAAAAAGCTTTACCCGGTATGCGAAACTTGAGTGTTGTTGTATAGGTGCTGCTACTATTTCTTCATAGTCAGAAGCATCTAGCACTTGAAGATGTTGGGGATGGAATAACTTGGGAAGCAAGTGTTCTCTTATACTTATGAGTAGAAAGAAGAGCGCCGGGAAAAATATCCCGGCCATATGAATCCATGTCATACCATAGCACAAGAGAAAATAAACCAACTGGAAAAGTGTGAATGTTACAATCACTCTGTATGGTACTAACTCCACAAATGAAGCATGTACTCCTTCCAAGACTCTGCATTAGATGATGAAACCAGTGATTAAGAAAAGCAGATCTTTCTAAAAATAGACTAAAGGAAAGGATTTATATTAACTAACTTGAAAAGACGGCTAGGAGGAATAAAGAGAAGCAACAATCTCTCCCAGAATTGGTTTCCCGGGAGACTGTCTATCGCCATATAAGCAAAGTAACCCCAAAGTATTGAACTTGGGATCATTTTGATGACTGGCACTGCAAGAAGTGTTAAACCAACAAGAACTGATTGCAAAAGATTGCTCACTCTTTGCTCGTTTACTCTAACCGGCAAGTTAGCCTCTATATGCACATCCGGATCGAATTTTCCTTTTGTATCCGCTCCTTGGTCCGGTCTCATTACAACTTCTTTCAACTCTTTTAAATCTGTTGCTACTGAATTATCCTGCAAAATTTTTTTAACTCTTTTTTACTTAAAACCTTTTCTTTCCATAGATATAGGAGAATGCATTATAATTAATAACCTGAGGTGGGCATGTCTCCATCTCTATAAACACTGATTGCATTCTTCCATATATTTCTGATTTGCTAGCTTTCATTTTCATACACTCCTTTGCTTTCTTCACCATTTTCTTGCGTGTCAGCTGCCAAAAAAAAAATCATCATCTCTGTTTCAACTCTTCTTTTTTTCATATGTATTTGTTTTTACCTGACGATTGAGAACTGCAAGACTCTTTGTGTGCATTGGAGCCTGAGGAAGAACACCATTTGAAGGAGGAAGTCCAAGTAGTCCACATATCAAAGTCTATAAAACCACCATAACAACAAGATTCAATTGGTTTCTCCATGAAGAAAGTATCTTTAAATCAGTTTTAAGAACATTAAAAAACTAACCATAATTCCAAGCAAGAAGATGTCATAGTGATAAGCAGAAGGATTCTTTAGATTAAACTCTTTCTGTTGTGCCATTTGTGAAGCTACACTATGGTCGAAGAAGTAAAGTCCTGCTATCATCACACCGGGTATAAACGCAGCAAATATATACATTACCGGTACCTTACCCATGTCCTGTATATAAGAAGTTTTGCATGATATTTCTATAAGTTTTGCATTTGGATTGATCATTGAATCATTTTTTTTCATATATATTTAAAATCTTACCTTGATTACAGTCCAATGATACAATGAAGCTGGCTCCCATGGAAGAGGACAGAACAGTCTCCGAGGAACACTTGGAAGTACTTCACTAGGAATTGTGTAAGACAATGCCGTCCATAACAAGACCATTAAAGGAACACCGTAATCTCCAATGAAACTCCGAAGCCATCCTGTTTTTAAGTGGTCTAAGTGAATATCAATGTACACATATCATGAACGAACGTAAATAGACAATAACGTACCAAAGCCGTATTTCCAAGATTTTGCTCTTCTACTCTTTAGCGCGGTGAATACAAGGCCTAACGAGAAAATTACCGCGAGCAACCCATTTGCATACAACAAGAGGAAATGAGATTTCCCTGTTTCTTGATTTTTAATTTCGGGGGCGTTAAACTCGCTGATCAATCCCTGAAAATGTATCATAACTAGGCATGTTACTTGTTGACTGATTAACCTGGAAAATGAAGTTGGTTATTTACCTTGATAGCTTCTTGTAAAAACAGAACAGCAATCAACATGCCAAAAAGTTCCCCAGCGATTCTCGTAAACCTCGTGATGATTGTGCCCGCGTTAAATATCGAAAGAAGGATAAGCAAAACTGAAGTCCATACACAAACCCTGCGGAAACATATAACAACAAACTCTTAGAAAACAGATTACATTCACTAACAATACTATTTATTTTCTGTGATCATTACCATGCAACCCAAGCTAGGTAAAGTTCTCGACCGATATCCGGTCTACTAATGCAGAAACTATAAAGATAAGTATACATAATGATGGTTGGCTCTGCAACCCCAAGTATCAACAATGGTTGTCCACCAAAAATCGCATGGATGATTCCGCATATCGAAGTAGAAGCTAATGTTTCCACTGCACTTAGAGCTCCGCCTTTTAACCACAAGTTAAGTAAAAATCATCAATGGTAATTCTCTAGGAGATTCATAAAAAAAAAAGCAACATGGAAAAGAAATATTTATATATATATATACCTGTATGTTTACTTAATTGCTCACCAAAGGCAACTACAGGAAGAGACGATGCAAAGAAAATATAGCAAGTCGGAGCCAAAATTCTAGTGAAACATTGAAATCAAGAATTCAATGTTTAGCATCAATTTACATTTCAAGAAAGATTGAAATTTAATTAACTTACCTTATACCGGTTTTTATGCCACGAATCCAATCTTGTTTGTAACATTTTCGTCTACCTTCGATATCTCGAAGTATTCCCTGAAATGGACCTCCTTCTCCTTCACTCTCCATTGCTGCATCAATCCGGAGTACCTAGCGTGTTACACACGCATTCACAATTACAACCTAAAACAGCATAATTCTAGAGAAATTGAAACTTCAATAGATCATTAGAAATAAGCTTCTAAACATATATTGATGAATCGACTTCGACATACCTGGAAAGCTCAAGAATCGAGGAATATGTTAGACATAGAAGGAAGAAATCAAAGGAAATTCAAAAAGACAAGACAGAGAAACTTGTATTGATAAAAATAAAAACATGATTAATAGTAAACCGCGTAATTTTTCCACACATGATTCTAACTTCTAACAGTTTCAACAATAATGGTGTTATGAAAACTAATTAAACTCCATGACACGTTAGCCTGGTTAGTTAGTTTTGATGATAAATAGTTTGACCTTTATTTGGTTGATAAAACCTAATTAGATTTTCTAAATTAATACTAAGTATTAGTGTTTTCTAAATTAGCGTTCTTTGTCAAAGCGTTCACTCAAAAACTTTTTGAGTATGCATGTGACCTAAACGTTTTCATCCATTGAGTAGAGAATCTATTAGTGGAAATGACAAAATTAAATTTTAATTAGAAAATGTTGATGTGTAATTTTTCTTGCCAGTTGATGAACGGGTTTTGAAAATTTTAAACACTTAACTTAACCATTGTAACTTTATATATTCTTATGAATATTCCATATGCATTACACAATCTTTTTTAGTTTACATTACATTATCTTAATAAATATTACACAAACTAGAGCAATTATTGTAATAACTAATGAAAAAACTTTAGACGTCCATCTAGATTTCTTGATTTGCCATTGGAGCTACTTGTAGATTCACCCTTTGTCGGTAACGTATTATGCACCGGTAGATAACTCCGACGACAATAATTAGTAAGACTATAACCAAAAGTATAACATAGAATCAATGTTGAAGAATTCGCTAGGCGCTAAACAAGCGTGCGTGACCTGTCGTTTAGTGCTTGGAATGTTTATTCATAAGTTAGACGATTTTAAGCAGTTTAAACATTTACAATATAACACATTATAAATATGATTTCTTATTAGATAAAATTTAGTTTTTAAAGTTGCTAACTAACATGATCACCACGTTTGCAACAACCCAGTATTTAGCCTCCTTTAAAAAGACAATGCAATACCACTTTTGCTTTGTCCAAATTACAGTAAGATTTTTAAAAATTAAAAGTTATTATCAATTCTAACGTGTCAACTTAATACATAGAGAGATGTTTCTTTGTTTCCTTCTAGAAACATAGTTTGAGTCTTTGACAATCTCGCGTGCTTGTAAATTGTTTAGAACAAAAAAAGTAAACTAATGGTTTAATGATACTCCTACAAGACTATTTGCCTTCTAAAATCCATTAAAAGTTCAAATATATCTAAGAAACTCTCTTTAAATTAAAATTCTAATAAATACTAATTAACTCTACGAAACCAACAATAATCCGGCCGAAGCCGATAATAAACCTAACCAACCGAAACCACACCTTGGCCTTCCAAGATTCCGGCTACCGCTTGAACGATGGTGGTGCGACATACCCGAAAAAAACGGATACCCGCCTAGCCCACCGCGAGATTGCCTTAGACGGTCGTATCCGCCACCACGTCCTCCTCCTACCTTACCGCCACCACGTCCTCCTCCTCCCTTACCGCCACCGCCTTTTCGGATAAAGACTGCTAATTTCGACGTCTTCTCACCGTAGCCAATAACACCTTCTGGCTTGGATATGGTGGAAACATGGCTGGTGTCAACGGAGGCTAGACGTAAGGATCGTGAGTCTACAACGGAAACAAAGTTGTGATGCAAATAAAGAACGAAGAGAAAATAGAAAAGCAACGACGTTTTTGTCAAACCCATGTTTATGCTTGTGCCTTCTCAGCCCCTCTTTTTTTGACGTTTTACATATATATAAGGGTCATCGAATTTTACGTTTCCGTTCTTAGTTGGGAAACAACAAATTTTATTCGTGAAATAGAAAAATGAGAATTGTGAGAAATCAGACGCGGTAGATCTTTCTGCAAATTTGACATTGAAATTATTTGCCAATTTTATTTATCTGTTAATTTTTGGTAATATTAGTTATTTCTACAATTTATACTGAATTCATCAAGTTTTATATTGTCATTTTGGTGTTTATTTTCTTATTCTTAGAGAATAATAATTATTTTTCAATTAAAAACCAATAGTGGTGGAAAAAAGCCAAAATGAAATTACATGCTTTAGATAATCTCACTAATATTTTATTCATGGATTGGTGAACAAATTTTAAAATGTGAGTTATAAATGTTTTTAAATACGGTGTGGTTGGGTTGGATACAATGTAAAAATGTTTCTTCTTATGCAAGCTCTCTCGGAGCTATGGATGTAACAACGATAGCAACAAAGGCCTTGAAGAAGATGATGATGGTGCTCATGGAGGTCTTCATATTTGCTCTTGGCTTCTCGATCGATCTTGGGGTTTATACTGAAACTTGTTTGACATTTATTTCTTTCAGTTTTTATTAAGGGTTTCTATTTTTTTTTTTCCTAGGCATATCAGTTTTCACTTAGTAATACCAGTTAATTTTAACTTATCTAAGCTAAGATTGGATAAAAGAAACATGGCAATATAATTCAATAATTTAGTTACTGATCAGACTAGATCATCAAGTAACAAATCTTCTATACTTTATATAGCAATTAGTCAAGTCATATACAATGTATTTGCATTATTTGCTACAACGCTGAAAATTAGAGAAAATAGTTTCCCAATTACATTTATATCACAACAATATTTTTTAAAAATTTTGATCTCAAATTACAGAATCTCGTTGACGTCAATTTAATCTCTAAAGATTTTTATTTCAAATTTCATATATCAAAAACTGACAATATTTAGACTTTTATGACTCCATTAATTGTATAAAATGTCATTTATTGATTCAAATAATAAAAGCTGGAAAGGTTACAACATATAATCCCCAAGTCTCTTTGACTTCTTCTTCTTCTTCACTTCTCCAATCATTCACTTCTTTCAAAAGTCTCTCATAACCTCTCACTTGACTTGTATCTACCGAAGCTTCTTTGATCTAAAAGTAAGTTTTCTCTGCCGCCTCTATCTCCTCTTTTTCGCTGGTACTTTGTTTTGAGATCTCTACACATTTAGTTTTGTATTGGTATTGGTGAGGATGACTTGTGCAAAACTCGCGGTCTCCTTTTGTTTCTTAATATTTTCATTGATTTTTTTTTGTCTATATATAGATTTTCCGAAGTTGTTTGCCGAATTGCCGATCACCATAAACTTTTTAGGAGTATGTAATGAAAAGATTTGAGTAAAAAGTACACTAAAGGTTCATCGATCCGTTTATTGATTAAATTGTTTACTTTGAATGAAGGAAAAAAAATATACTAATTACAATCATGACAAATGGTGGTGGTGGCGGCAACGGTGGTGGCGGAAACAACGGAGCAGCAAACCGGACGGAGGAGTTACAACCCCACCCGGTGAAAGAACAACTCCCCGGAATCCAATACTGCGTCAACAGTCCTCCTCCTTGGTGTAAGTTTCGTTTTATTGAATTTTGGTTATTAACTTATTATTTTAATTTATTTATTTTATATCTTATTAGTGTGTGTGTGTGTGTGTAAATGTAATATTTTTGGTGTTTGCAGTTGAAGCCGTAGTGTTGGGTTTCCAGCATTATTTGTTGAGTCTTGGCATCACAGTTCTCATTCCAAGTCTATTAGTTCCACTCATGGGAGGTGGTGATGTAAGTTGAGATGTCTTTATTTTTTTGAAAATTATTAAAACATCTTACATAACTATTAACAAACCTCAACACACACAAATATGCTCTTCCAGATTTTGATTTTAAAAATATGATTTTGTTTTTTTAGTTACTATTTCACTTTATTTTTTGGAGTTGGTTAATTACTATGTTTTCAAAATTTGGGTTATGATACTCTTTCGGTTAGAAAAACAAAATTTCTATTAAATTCTTGTAAATATTAAATTTTCTATACATACATTTTGATTTTTTTTTCTATATATGTTTTGACATTTTCAGGCAGAAAAAGTTAAAGTAATACAAACATTACTATTTGTGTCTGGATTAACAACATTGTTCCAGTCTTTCTTTGGAACTCGATTGCCTGTGATAGCTGCGGCTTCTTATGCCTATATCATACCTATCACTTCCATCATTTATTCGACCCGATTCACTTACTACACTGATCCTTTTGAAGTAAGTCTTATAACATTAGTATTATTATCATTAATTTTACAAACTATATTGTACTAATAATAAATTGTTTGATGTATATAACATAACTAATCAGAGGTTTGTGAGAACAATGAGAAGCATACAAGGAGCTTTGATTATAACCGGATGTTTCCAAGTTCTTGTATGTTTTCTAGGCGTATGGAGAAATATTGTTAGGTAAATTACTTAATATTATTTTGCCAAAGGAGACATACCTTATTATGTTTCTAACATTAAACATGAATGTATTTTTTATTTGCGCTCATTAGATTTCTAAGCCCACTCTCCATTGCTCCTTTGGCAACATTTACCGGATTGGGACTCTACCACATTGGCTTCCCTTTGGTATGTGTATACCCAAATGTTTTTATTAATTATTGAATAATTATGTAGAGTTATAATATGATGCAAAAATCTTTCATTTTTCAGTTAGCAAGATGCGTTGAAGTAGGACTTCCTGGGTTGATCTTACTTGTTTTTGTCACTCAGGTAAAGTTCTAACCGTTGTTTCTTAGCTTTCTTTTGTTTTAAATCCTTACACAATTAGAAAAAAATAAAATATAGATCATCGAAAAACACTAATTTAGCCAACGCAATTTATTTTGGTTACGTGTACATTTTACATGTCACTTTTTAATTTTTAAGTTTACGTAAACTATTTTTGTTAAGAGTATTTTTATCTTATGCTTGGCTTTGGCATTTACAATTAACAAAATAATTTATTTTTTGTCGGGTGCAGTACTTACCGCGTTTTTTGAAGATGAAAAAAGGGGCGATGATTTGGGATGGAAACAGATGCGACCGCTATGGGATGATGTTATGCATTCCAGTGGTATGGTTGTTCGCTCAGCTACTCACATCGAGTGGTGTTTATGACCACAAGTCTCAGACTACTCAAACCAGTTGTCGTACAGATCGTACTGGTCTCATCACCAACACTCCTTGGTCAGTTCTTCTATTTGAAATGTTCATTTTTTTCCATGTAGAGATTTCACTATTTTGGTATTCATAATTTATCTTTATTCTTTTAATGTGAATAATAGGATATACATACCATATCCTTTTCAATGGGGAAGCCCAACTTTCGACATCACTGATTCCTTTGCGATGATGGCTGCGTCTTTCGTCACTCTCTTCGAGGTTAAACTTTATTCTTATACATAAAATTGAAATTAAAAATCATTGAAAATAATATTTAGAGTACTATGAAGAGTGATAAATTTTATGTACTATTGTAGTCGACTGGTTTGTTCTATGCATCAGCAAGATATGGAAGTGCGACGCCGATTCCACCATCGGTTGTTAGTCGTGGTAATGGCTGGCTGGTTAGTCTAACAAAAACTTAATCAAGTCACATTTAAAAAAAACATACTTTTTTATACCGTTTATTAACTATTTATTTCATCATCTTATGAATATTTGAATAAATATCTTGTAGGGAGTTGGCGTATTACTCAATGGCATGCTTGGAGGCATCACGGGGATCACAACATCAACGTAACGAAACTTATCTATAAATTACAAATTTTTAATTTTTTGAGCATTTATCTTTAGTATATAATATATAAAGTATACTAACTAAAGACTAATGATATGATTTTGATATGGGTGTACCTTAATATTCAGAGAAAATGTTGGACTTTTGGCAATGACTAAGATTGGGAGTAGAAGAGTGATACAAATATCAGCTGCCTTCATGCTTTTTTTCTCTATTTTTGGTAAAAGAATTTCTTATAACCTATTATAATCTTTAAATGATTTTTTGAATTGTTTACTGATTTGATAACTTATTTATTTTAATCAAAATGCAGGAAAGTTTGGAGCGTTTTTCGCGTCAATACCATTACCAATCATGGCATCTCTTTATTGCATCGTATTGTGTTTTGTATGTAAGTCTCTTTATCTATTACACTTATAATTTCTTTAAAGTGTAAAATTACATTTTATATTAATATATGTATTTATTACTAAAAATAAAATAAAATTTAATTGGTTGCAGCTTCCGCGGGACTTAGTTTTCTACAATTCTGCAACCTCAATAGCTTCAACACCAAATTCATTGTAGGATTTTCTTTTTTCATGGCTATTTCAATCCCTCAATATTTCAGAGAATATTACAATGGAGGTTGGCGGTCTGATCATCGCTCGAATTGGGTAAATTACATCTTCTTATATACTTTAAAGCACATTTTTAAAATTACAAATGCTTTTTTATAACTTAACAAATTGAAAATTATTTTGTGTAAATACAAAACAGTTGGAAGATGTGATAAGAGTGATATTCATGTCCCACACAACGGTTGCGGCAATAATAGCGATAGTGCTTGATTGCACATTGTGTCGTGAAAACGATGAAGCCAAGAAAGATTGCGGACTGAAATGGTGGGATAAATTTCGACTATTCAATCTTGACGTGCGAAACGATGAGTTTTACGGTCTACCTTGCAACCTCAACAAATTCTTCCCTTCTCATTGAAACTTTCACTAATATCTTCTTCTATTCTTTTGTCTTTTTGAATGTTTCCTCTCTCTTTCTTTATGTCTATCTAGAAGTTTAGAGTGCTAATATATTTTCTTACAATTTATTCATCTAGTTACATATATATCTTCAAATATTTTATAAGAAGCTTTAATAGTTTGTTCGATTATTGCATATATGGAGCTTAATTTGTTTAAATTATTTAAGCCGTAATTTCTCATTTTTTAATTTATATACTAGATTAACCAACTTCTTATATCTAATGATGCATAGACTGATATCTTAACCTCCAACACTTTCAAGATTTCTTAGCATTTATTTAATGGTTTTTGATAATGTAATTACTGAAAACAATCTTAACATATTATATCAAGTAAAATCCTTCTTAGAAACAAATAAAAATTCCATTTTACAAAACTGCTTTGGCACTACTAGAAAGTCAGACATTCTATTTCTATCAACATTGGTGATTTTTTTCCCATAAATTCACACATTTTTTCTGTAAATATTATCCAAAAAAAAGAAAAGAAAAAAGATCAAACATATGTGTCAAGACTCAGGATTAGAACCACCACCATCTCCCTTCTTGTTAGCCATTGTGTACTTAAGAATCTCCAGAAATAAACAAAACTTGAACATTTCAATACATTCGTAATCACAACCGTTACAAATGCATTGTGACAGTCTCTTAAATCACAATGAACGTAATCTCAAACTGAGAGAGAGACATACATGTCTAAGCATTTGATTTTCATTCTACAAAGTTGAAATTTTTTCTTCAATTTCAGAGTTTTTATTCTCCAAAGCTTGATGATCTCTCACTGCTTTATGGTAAAGAGCTTGCAGCTAAAGAACTTGTAGTTTGTTCATGCATTTTCTTACTTTACGTAGAGATAATTCTAACGATGAAGAAAGTGAAAAGAGCGGTGATAAGCTCAAATTAACCTTAAGCAAATCCCTCAAATAAAGAGAGAGTCGTAGTACTTAAGGGTCAGATTCACAAAATTATTTTGTTCACACAAAAAGTTAACAGTTTCGAAATTAAGATAAACAGAACAAGTAAATTAATAGACAGAAAAAGCAATTAAATCGAGTGTAAATTAAGATGGGGAAAAATGTCAGGTTCACGGAATTTCTCAGAAAATATCTAAATTGTAGATCTACCAATATTGTTAGAAATTATTAAATAGCGTTCTAGAACTCAAATCACAAAACTATAATCAACCAACTCTCGTGTGTATTGAATATATATATGCCTAATAGTAGGAATTCTAACTCTCGTCTGTAAATCCCAAAACTAAACAAGCATTAACGATCAAGTTTGACATGTTCACAAAAGTATCTAAACCAACTCTAGTCTGAGAATATCTACTTTTGCTCACCTAAGATAGTTCAGGTAATAAGCGCACTCTCTTGTCTAATTATTATCCTAAGATCAAATTCTAGTTAGCTACTCTAGAATTAGCATTAAGATCAATCAAAGATGAAGAACTATAAAGATATTATCCTAACTAGTAATCGATCTAACAATTCATCTAAATCCCTATTGAGAATCCCTAAACCTAACAAGAGAACTACTCAGACATGATCATGGTAACAGAAAACATGATTTGACTATAAAGCATAAAAGAAATAAAAAAAAGAATAGAGATAGATCAGCCGTTGATCTGATAAATGGTATATGTAGACGCCAATTAGTTTCCTCTAACAAAGAGATTTGGCCCATACCTTTTTTAAGATGACCAAGACAACTTGAAAGCTTTTATTTGAAGTTTTCATGGCTAAAGAACCAAATCTCTATAAGCCAAAACCATAAAAAAATTTAATTAGTGTTAATATGCAAATTTTATTCATTTTGTTTTCTAAGAACTTATTTTAGAATAGTTTGTTATTTACATTTTAGAATAAGTTTATTAAATACCAAATCTAAAGATTACACCAGCAAATGTCAAATTCAACAAGAGTTTCCTTCTGAACCATCATAATTGAAAAAATAACTTAGTCGAGTACAATAAAATCGTTTTACTGTGTACCAATTCTTATTCCATAACATTTTGGACTATCTATCAAATTCTCGATAGGAAAAGAATTGATTCTACGTTTGTTCATAGTTAGAGAATTCAAGCATGAGAAAATATTGATTCCATTTTTTATAATCTCATGCCATAAGTCAAGTCGAATATATTCGATCCATTTTAACACCCCTATATATCGAACCAACCAATCTGCCATTTAAATTCTTGTGAGAATATTTTGACTTTATAATAGATTGATGGAGCAATAAGGTGTGAGATATCCTAACGAGTTAATGAAACAAATGAGTTGGATTGTAATAGATAGGTCAAATGTTGGGTTATTATGGATTGTATTATCTATTTGACATATGAATTTTTCAAAAAGTTAAAAACTATATCTTGTAAAGAATATGAGAAACATAATATATTTTTGACGTTAATTCTAAATGTAAATTTTACATTCTAAAAAGATATGAGAAAAAATAAAAGTGGAGAGAAGACAAAGAAATTGCTTTTTTCTTAGCAAATTTGAAGAGTGTTTTTTAAAAAAAAAATCTTTACTCATTACTTTTAATTAATTTTTATATAATTATAGACTATCTCTATATTCTAAATTAAGTTGTTAGTAGAAAAAATAGAATTTAACCTTGATAACAAAAAAGAGTTAAGTAACTTAATTGTATAATAGTTTCATATGATTAATTCAGAATAATATTCTTATTTATTAAATACCCGGTCTAAAGATTACAATGTAATGTGTTAAACTCAACAAGAGTTTCCGCCTGGACCACCATAATTGAAAAAGAAACCGAGTCGAGTTCGATGAAATGGTTTCACCTTACCATTTACATTTTAATGGTAAAATCATTAAGAATATTTACATGAGTGTTTACAAAAAGAATCATTAAGAATATTTACAAAAAGAAACCGAGTCGAGTTCGATTAAAATCATGTTTAATATTTACATTTTTTTTAGTATTAAGAATAAATAATTTTAAGAAAAAAAAAATGTTCACATGCACACCTTCCAAAATGCATACGTCCAAAGTTGTCCGGTGCGAAAGAAACCTGGATTTATCTGTCAAAATGATTAGCAATACTTTAATACAATAAAATATTAATAATAAGTGATTTTTTTAGAAACCTAAAAATAAAAACCTACAATATAACCCGCTTGGATAAAATTTTCTTGGTTATTCAATAGACTGCCTATAAATATTTGGCTATATGAAATCTGATATCGTCCAACGTTTAGCGCAAATCCATCATACCAAGCTTCTACACCATAAAATGGACCAGCTTGTGACCTTACTCCAGCAATCTACCAAGAGCCAGTTATATTGACATTACTAGTTGAAATACACAAAAATAATTAGATCTAGTGTATAAGAAGAAAATTAAATGTTTACATGTGCTCCAGAACTATGGGTTGAAAGCGGATGGAAATATTTTTCGGCGAAAAGTTTATGCCTTGATGTTGTATTCATTTGAGTTTCTCAATATAGGAACGGTTCCATCAGGACAACCTGTTTTCTTCGAATATGATTTGTTGTTCCCAATGTGATTCCTCAATTCAGTTCTTGAAATTGATGGTTTCATCTTTTCAAAAAATAAAATTTATAGTCAAATTTAAAATCACATTTTATAAAAGTTAATTAAAAAATAATCAAAATCATGTAGGAGACGAATTTTTGAAAGGTCTATGCACCTGGATTGTGTTGTTTTGGAGCAAGGGATGATTAAGTCCTGGTTGCTTAAAAATATCTACACAATCGTATGTAGCATTTTCACTTATCTGTCAATATCCAAAAACAAAAAGACATGAGACGATCTTGAACTCAATCCATGATATAAGAAAAAAAAAGAAGATGTTAATTCAATTAAATATATCAAAATAATTAGGGACACAAGTGTCTCAAGTTCTCAAAATATTAACACTGACCTTGAAGGATCTGAGAGGCAACGTATTTTGATCTGAACGAACTAGGGGCCTAGGGCTGCTACGAACAATAGATGCAAGAGAGTTATCTTAATTGTTGTAGACATTTTATAGTTATGTTTCTTCAAGAATGAAAACACTATGTTACTTATATATACATATTATAAGCACTACGTATGTTTGACTTTTCTAAAAGTAATTAATACATTCTAACTAAGAAAATACAAATATTTGACTGTAAATATTATGGAAACATTTTGTACGAAAATTTTGGAGTCTCATATTATGAACGTGAGTAGCAAGAAGGACAAGATCATTATCATATATTTAACTATATAACGTAAATGATTATTGAATGGGGAATAATCGTACTTTGGCCAGAAAGTGAAAAGGATTTACTTATTACGTTATCAATAATAAATAATTTATCGTCAATTAAACAAAAAATTCGTAATCAGTGTGTTGTTGACTATTGACCCAGTTTATTATTGTCTTTTTTTTTTTTTTTTTTTTAACGTCTTTCATATAATAATATAAAACCAGAAGTATAAAACAGAGTCAATCGAAACATAGGACATAATAAACCAAAGGAGAAAGAAGGCATTAAAAAACAGAGCAAAGAAGATTACAAGAGAACCTCATGCTGAAGCTATGCGTTCTCTCTCAATCCGGTCGTGGAGCCAAGATGGACCTCCTAGCGCAAGATACGATGTAAACCGTCCCTCCTTCGTGACACTACAAGCAATATCCCTGGCCAAAGTATTGGCTTTCGGTGAAGAGAGGTGAAAGCTTACCTACCCCATCACCCGTATTGCTTGTAAGATTTTATCGGGCTGGGAACGATACTTCGGCCATTCCAAAGGATTCTCCAATGCCATCACTGCCGCGTTACAATCCGACCAGATTTCGCAGTTGTTAATATGAAGATCATGAAGACTGCGAAGACACCACAATAGGCAGTGTAGTTCTGTAGAGAGTCTGTTCATTCTTGGAAGAAAAGCATCTCTAGCATGAAATAGAGCATTGCCTAAGTGGTTCCTTAAAATCCAAGCACCCCCACAGTGAGCCGTAACACTTACCCAAGAAGCATGAATGTTGCATTTTAAAATCCCTAAAGGAGGCTTCAACCACCTTAAAACCTGTCTACCTCCACGGCTAGCCTCCTCTGCGGTTTCAAGATTAGTATTGTGGTTAAGTGTAGTCCATTCTTCCATTTCCTCTAAAGCCGTGGCAATGATAATATGAGGATCAATTCATCTCTGATTTTTACTATATTTTGTAATTTCGAACTCCATTCAAAATACTTATATATATATATAATATTGTCTGGTGGATATTACCATTCATATAAAATTTAATATTGGACATCTATAAATATGATTACATTTTGATACTATACAATACTAGTATTAAGAGTATCTAAATATTTTAAAACTAATAAAGTGATAAAGAAATGTAATCAAATGATCATAAAAATAATTAATTTAGAGAAAACAAAAATAAATGATTATATGATATGATATTATCGTTCTTTTTTTTTTTCCGTCATGATAGAATCGGATAAACTCCTAACTCCTACTCCAGTGTTCTTCCTCTGACGCTAAGTCCTTCTTTTTATAGCCATGATGTGACAACTCAATCCTCTTTAGAATTGATATGGGACGGATAGGTCATACGTGCTTTGTGGCGGCGGGAGCATTGTACGGAGGGGCCGACTTCCTGGCAGATCGATTGCAAATTGGCCGACTTCTTGGCAAATCGATAACAGATGGGCCGACTTCCGTTGACCTGGTCAATGTCCCTGGAGCTGGTCATCATTTTCTGATGGGCCAAGCGAGTGTTGGTGGGACGAAGCCCATATCCAACATCTAGTCAACTTTTTGCAACAACTAATGTACAAGACGATCCTAAAGAGGATTGACCTAACCCTCCACAGATGTTGGTTTTTTCTGTTTTTTTTTTAATGTAGAGACCTCGTTGTACTCCACATTGTTCTCTAGTCAACTTTTTGCACCAACAAGGTCTCTACAGAATCAATTGGATCTGAATAGAGTGGTAAAACATCCCCAAGTGAAACAATAGAACCTGAAGCAGAACTCATCGTCTCCTGATCATTCCTTCTGTAAAGTGGATGATCCTTGAAATTTTCTCGATGAAGGCAATGAACTCTGAAAACATTAGAAAAGAAAGCCCAAATGGTCTCATCGTATTCACGTCAAACACGCCAGAGCCCTTACTCTGTTACTCATCAACCCTAAACCCTCAGGCACGGCATCTTCTTTATCCTTTTATCCCTAAAAAGTGATTGGGACTGGGAGGAGACCAATTCAGGTTTTTTGGGTTCCAAGAATATTACTTTTTAGAGTTCGGTTCAGGTTCTGCCATTCTCAATCTCATGTAGAAGATGGATTGGCGGCCTTTGTATATATTATCTCGATCTTTTGTTCATGTTGTAATTCTTTATTTTTTTTTAAGTTAAATTTTTTTTTGTTGTGATTCTTTTTTAATTTCCTCTATGGGTTGTTCAAATGTTTTGGTTCATGGATGTGCTTAAGTTGGAAAATCGTGATCTGTGAATAATGCCTTATAAGGAGTTAGCAAACTGGACATGACGAAGGATTGTTGAAATTCATAAAATCTTGATCGTTTTTTATGGAGTATCAAATTGAGTGCTAGTCACGCAAAGAATCTGACCATCGTGGCTTCCAATGCCATAATTAACTTCAATGCGGGAAATCAGAGAAATTTTTTTAAAAAAAAATCAATTATTCAACAAATTCATTTCGAAGTTTTCAATTAATCAAGGCAAGTGTGTCCTTCGTTACAAACTTATTATGTTCAAGATAGTACACCTACTCTTTGATCATGCGTCTATCTAAAATTCTAAATGCATTAGCATCAATATATTACCACATAGATGTTCTGTCTCTCCATGCTCTGTCAGAATTCTTGGAAATTGTGTTCTAAAGCGACGCCAGATTTTGATACATAAATACTAAACTTTAACGTTGTTTAATAGAACGAGTACGACGCCAAAAAAACGTTTTAAGTTGGTTCCAAAACGACGTTAAGAAAATGACGTATCTTACCGTCATGTTGTAGGGTCACAATAATAATATTTTTTTTGGTACTTAATTGATCTCATGATCTATGATCAATTAAATCTCAAAAGATTTCTATTTCAAATTTCATATATCAAAAACTGACATTATTAAGACTCTTATTACGACATTAAATTGAATAATATGTCATATAATCATTTAAATAATTTAAAAGTTAGGCAAAGACTTTTAATCCCCAAATTAGAAAGCTTCTTCCATCGTTTTTAAAAAGTAAGTTTTCTCCTATATAATCGATTGACTAAAACAAAAATTATAATTCTTATGCATCTTTCGTTGATCTCTGCAGAAATTGTTGTGTTCTTGATTATGAAAATTTTGGTATTGGTCAGGTTGACTAATGCAAAACTCTGAGCCTCCTTGTGTTACCATAACATTTTCATTGATTTCTTTTATTACGTTATCTATATTTAGGATTGATGTTTTAAAAAACAGTTTACGATATATCAAAATATTTCTTCTATATTTTTCTATATGATTTTCTGCAGTTGTTAGTCGATCACGTTAACTCTTTTAGTAAATGTAATGAGAAAGATTGATAATTAACATGGTGTACTAACAATTTCATATTTATTAATTTAAAATAAGTTTATTAAAAGCCATTTTAAAAAGACTACATTGGCAAATGTCAAACTCCGCAAGAATTTCCTCCTGGACCACCATAATTAAAAGTAAAGTCGAGTAGTTTTACTTTATCGGTTCTTATGCCATAACATTTTGGACTATCTAGCAACTTCTCCATAGGAAAAGAATCGATTCTACGTTGTTCATAGTTGGAATTCAAGACTTCAATATTTGCAAACATTGCTGATTCCTTTCGGTCTCCAGTCGGAAATTTACCATTACCCATTGGAGGACTTGAACCTTGATGAGAAGCTTGAACTGCACCTCCAACTCCAACCATATTTGCACCAGTACCTATTAGGTTAAATAATTCTTTTGGCCAATATCCGACATCTATGTTCGGTGCATTTAGTATCAGTTTTGTAATCCACCAGTTTCCTGTTTGTTTATCCTTTTAGTGTATAAGATAAAAAAAAAAAATCATTAAAAATTGAAGAACAAAATAATGTGCTAATCAAATTACTTTAAGAGTAGTGTGTTCGAACAACACAGGTTATAGTCACTATATATTTCAATTCATAAAGTTAATTTTAAAATTCATAAATCCTCCAAAACTAAGTGGGAATGACATATGTGAAAATTAAGAAAATCATTCATTCTTAAGCATGTTTTAGCTTAAAAATCTAACATTTAAAAATTGCAGATTTAATATATCATTATTAACACCAAAAATAACTATAAAAAAGTTTACAAAATATAAAATTAATTTTAAATTTTGCATAATAATATAAGAATCAAAGAGAATAAAAAAAAATCCTTAAAACAGTTTATAAAAATAACATAATGACTATTTAAATGGTTTACAAAATAAATGAATTAGTATTAAAGACTTGAAAAATCACCTGGTGGATGGAGTAATGCAACAAATGTTCGTGTGGCTGGTCCAAGGGCTGGGCTATGGGAACCTCCTGTGATACTTGAACAAACCCTGGACATGCCGTATTATAACATCCTTTTCCATTTTCACCCTATAAAAATATTGAATATTTCAATGGTATTTGATTTAACAATTTTTGCTTATATAGAAACCATAAATAATTTCTTTCACATGCAGACCTTCCAAAATCCATATGACCAAACATCTCCATCGCCAAATAGACTTGGATTTATCTAAAAAAAAACTTTTATATACTTTAAGACTATACCTAGAGAATTAACGAGTGGATAAAGCAAAAAAAAAACAATAAAAAATGTAAAGCTTACCATCCAACCTGCTTGGATAAAATTGACCTTATTGTTCAAACCACTGCCTACATATAATTGAGCATATGAGGCTTGATCTCTTTCGATGTTTATGTTATGTATACTAAATGAAGCTTCTACACCGTGATATGGACCATTTTGTGACTTCACTCCAGCAATCTACCAAAAAACCGGTTATAGTGACATATATACACATAACTAATACTTGAAATATACATACAAAAAAGTATCATAGCTAAGCAAATAAGAAAAAAAATTGAAAGCTTACATGTGTTCCAGGACTATCGCCTGATAGCGGATAGACATACTTCTCGGCAAAAAGTTGTGCATTGGTGATATATTCTTTTGAATTTCTTAATATAGGAACGGTGCCATGTGGACAGCCCATTTTATTCTTATATGTTTTAGTGTTGTCAGTTTGATTCTTTAATTCATGTCTTGCAAATGATGGTTTCATCTATTCAAAAAATAAATTATATAGTCAAATTTAAATTCAATTTTTATAAGAGTAAAATGTTCATAGGAGACAAATTTCTGAAACGTCCATGAACCTGGATTTTGTGATTTTGGAGCAAGGGATGCTCAAGTCCCGGTTGCTTATAAATGTTAATGCAGTCATATGTTACATTTTCACGTATCTGCCAATAACAAAAAAACAATCAAGCTTTTTATAACAAAAATAAACAAGGCGATGTTGAACTCCGTCCATGACATATCCGACTATAGATACGTTGATGTTGGACTAATTTCTTTTGTTTCAAAACTGACCTTGAAGGTTCTGAGAGGTACCATATTTGGATCCGAACGAATTAGGGCTGGTGAGAACAAAAAAGGTAAGAGATTCATAACAAGAGCAATCCTAACTCCTGTAGACATTAATTAGTTTTGTTTCCTCAAGACTGAAAACACTATGTTATTTTATTTATATATATATATATTACGATCTCAAGAAGAGAAAATCAACAATACGATAAAGTAGATATAAATGTTTGACTGAACTTATTATGGAAACGTTATATACGAAAATTATGGAGCCTCATATTATAAACAAAATTTAGAAGAAGAACAAGATCATTAAATAAGGTGGGAAATGGTAGAACTTTGACCGTAAACGAAAAAAAACAAAAGGCACCTTTTATCATAATGCCCTTACTAATAACAAAAAGAAATTAGAATAGGAATATATTATAATTGTATTTCAAAATAATTAATTGAAGAAGTAACTAATATTTCAGATTTAGTTTTCATAAAATCTTTTAATAAGATTTTGAAGATTACAAACCAATTTCTAAAAGATAAAATTAACTTATTTATGACAATATTCATTAATATTATATATGTATATATATATATATAAATCAAAAAAATTTATTCATTTTATAGATATTATATATTAACCCTTATAGATATCAATATTTTGATTTTTCACTATATAAATTATATAGAAATCTCCACTATTAATTGAAAATATTAAAAATAGTAATTATATATATATAAGTTATTTAAGTAAAGAAATTTAAAATTATAAATATTACATAAAATACTAACATAAAAATTCTCTAAAATAATAATTTAAGTAAAGTCATTAATGACAAAAAGATCAAATTAAAAGTTTGGCAATCTAATTAGTTTTCAAAACAATTAATAAAATCTGAAAATATTTAGTAGCTAATCAAATGGGTTAATTGAATAAAGAAGATTTCATGTCAAAGTATGTCAAGTTAATTATTTTTAATCATTATATTTCAAATTTCTTCATTGTTTGATTTTATTTTTTTGAGAAAATTAAATCATCATATCATCCATATAATAATAAAAAAATGTAGATTTTGTTGTTGCATATACTATAATTTAAATTTTGAAAACTGAACATAAATTATTCAACATGTGAAAATATTTAATAGTCATACATGGAATGGAGATGAGTGGTAGACTGGTAGTCCAAAAACTTAAGGAAGACCAAAATGTTGAAAAAAATAAATCATAAGCGTATGAAACCTCACTTAATATGCGTTTATATTTTAAAGTTTTTGATTTAGTATATGAAGACCAACGTATACCAAGTGTAAAATTGAATGGTTAATTAGAGTGAAACAGAATATCATACAATATAACTAATATTTTTTTCTTTGCCAACTCTTTATGCTAATAATTGTAGTATTGGGTAAAACGGCAAAAATCAACCCAAACATTTTGCAAAATGTCTTTCTATATATACTCAAAGAATGATACCAAGCATTTTTAAACATGAACCAACAGAAAATTTAGATGACCTACTTGAACCGTAAGTCCTTTAACTGTTTCCTCCTTTGACCTATACGGTGTTAGTCAACCGTCTAACGGTACTGAATTAGACGTGTGATATGAAGTGTGGCTAAACAAAACGATGTAGTTTTTGTCGGTTTAGTTGTATTGTGTACACAAAAATGATGTTGTGCACACAAAAATGATGTTGTTTTGGTATTAAAGATAAAATCGATATTGGAGATAAAACTACCAAATATTGATTTTATCCCTAATTTCAAAACAACATCATTTTTTAGTTCAGATATAAAACATTTGGTGAATGTCTTATATAGGAGTCTTAACTACAGAGTCTTAACTACAGGCTCAACCCACCCATAAAGCAGAGCAGCCAAACCATTTACTTTAGGCCACAAAATATAAAAAAAGTTTTTAGGGCCATATTATTAAGAATCTTCCTTAGTCTTGTTGTTATGTAGTCTTTAAATTAGTGTCATGTCCCGAGTTTGAGTCTCTTCTCTAACAGTTTTTTTTTTAAATTTTAATAATAGTTTTAAATAGAAAATTATATTATTGAAGTATGCATTAAGCACCAAAAATCGAAGGACCGGGCCTGCTTAACTAATAATGCAATTATTATTGTTTAATACATTCAAAAATATTTGATACTTTGATTCCATAAGAAAATTGAAAATATGTAACTAAATTGAATTAAATTATTTCTTGAAAAATATTAGTATTATATATATCATAAATTTTAAATTACAAGTTTAAGAGAGAAAATTTAACTAGAAAATAAGGATCCAGTAGATCCTTTAGTGTTCTACCTCATACTCCTTATTGTCATTGTCCTGAATATATGTATCTCGTGGGGGTCGGAAACACTTGTTGATCTCTTCTTTACTCATTACTTTTAATTAATTTTTATATAATTATAGACTATCTCTATATTCTAAATTAAGTTGTTAGCAGACAAAATAGAATTTAACCTTGATAACAAAAAAGAGTTAAGTAACTTAATTGTATAATAGTTTCATATGATTAATTCAGAATAATATTCTTATTTATTAAATACCCGGTCTAAAGATTACAATGTAATGTGTTAAACTCAACAAGAGTTTCCGCCTGGACCACCATAATTGAAAAAGAAACCGAGTCGAGTTCGATGAAATGGTTTCACCTTACCAATCTTACCCCATAACATTTTGGACTATATACCATAATCTCAGTAGGAAAAGAATTCATTTTACGATTGTTATAGTTGGAATCCAAAACTTCAATATTTGTAACCAATGCTGAGTCTAAGCGGCCTCCCACTGGAAAATTACCATTACCCATCGGGGGACTTTCACCTGAACCAGAAGCTTGTACTGCACCCCCAACTCCAACCGTAGTAGCACCATTGTCAATAAGATTAAAGAGCTCTTTTGACCAATATCCAATATCTTCGTTAGGTCCATTCGATATTGAGTAAGCCACCAATTTCTAGTTCCTTTATCCTTTTTCATACATTAAAAAATGAAACAAATGCATTTTGTTAAAAAAACAAAAAAGAATATGCTAGTACATTACTTTAAAAGCTAAGTGTTATTATATAATCAAATACATCTTAATATGATTCATAATGAGAAATAAATAAATAAAATCTGGAAATATAATACCTGATGGATGGACCAACGCGACCAATCAGGGACTCCTGGCTTAAGGTCTATGGGTTGGACTATGGGAAATTTTCTCGAAACCTGAATAAACCCATCAAATGCTGTATTGTAACATCCTTTTCCATCTTTACCCTATTAAAATCATGTTTAATATTTACAATTTTAGTATTAAGAATAAATAATTTTAAGAAAAAAAAATGTTCACATGCACACCTTCCAAAATGCATACGTCCAAAGTTGTCCGGTGCGAAAGAAACCTGGATTTATCTGTCAAAATGATTTGCAATACTTTAATACAATGAAATATTAATAAATGATTATTTTTTAAAACCTATAAAATAAAAACCTACAATATAACCCGCTTGGATAAAATTGTTTTGGTTATTCAATCGACTGCCTATAAATATTTGGCTATATGAAATCTGATATCGTCCAACGTTTAGCGCATATCCATCATACCAAGCTTCTACACCATGAAATGGACCAGCACGTGACCTTACTCCAGCAATCTACCAAGAGCCAGTTATATTGACATTACTACTTGAAATACACAAAAATAATTAGATCTAATGTATAAGGAGAAAATTGAATGTTTACATGTGCTCCAGAACTATGGGTTGACAGGGGATGGAAATATTTTTCGGAGAAAAGTTGTGCCTTGATGTTGTATCATTTGAGGTTCTCAATATAGGAACGGTTCCATCTGGACAACTTGTTTTCTTCGAATATGATTTGTTGTTGCCAATGTGATTCCTTAATTTAATTCTTGAAATTGATGGTTTCATCTTTTCAAAGAATAAAATTTATAGTCAAATTTAAAATCACATTTTATAAAAATAAATTAAAAAAAAATCAAAATCATGTAGGAGACGAATTTTTTAAAGGTCGATGCACCTGGATTGTGTGGTTTTGGAGCAAGGGATGATTAAGTCCTGGTTGCTTAAAAATATCTACACAATCGTATTTAGCATTTTCACTTATCTGTCAATATCCAAAAACAAAAAGACATGAGACGATCTTGAACTCAATCCATGATATAAGAAAAAAAAAAAAAGATGTTAATTCAATTAAATATATCAAAATAATGAGGGACACAAGTGTCTCAAGTTCTCAAAATATTAACACTGACCTTGAAGGATCTGAGAGGCAACGTATTTTGATCTGAACGAACTAGGGCTGCTACGAACAATAGATGCAAGAGATTCAAAACCAGAGTTATCTTAATTGTTGTAGACATTTTATAGTTATGTTTCTTCAAGAATGAAAACACTATGTTACTTATATATACATATTATAAGCACTACGTATGTTTGACTTTTCTAAAAGTAATTAATACATTCTAACTAAGAAAATACAAATATTTGACTGTAAATATTATGGAAACATTTTGTACGAAAATTTTGGAGTCTCATATTATGAACGTGATTAGCAAGAAGGACAAGATCATTATCATATAGTTAACTATATAACGTAAATGATTATTGAATGGGGAATAATCGTACTTTGGCCAGAAAGTGAAAAGGATTTACTTATTACGTTATCAATAATAAATAATTTATCGTCAATTAAACAAAAAATTCGTAATCAGTGTGTTGTTGACTATTGACCCAGTTTATTATTGTCTTTTGTTTAGTTTATGTTTATGTGTAGTCAATTCATCTCTGATTTTTACTATATTTTGTAATTTCGAACTCCATTCAAAATACTTATATATATATATAATATTGTCTGGTGGATATTACCATTCATATAAAATTTAATATTGGACATCTATAAATATGATTACATTTTGATACTATACAATACTAGTATTAAGAGTATATAAATATTTTTAAACTAATAAAGTGATAAAGAAATGTAATCAAATGATCATAAAATAATTAATTTAGAGAAAACAACAATAAATGATTATATGATATGATATTATCTTTGTTTCTTTTTTTTCGTCATGATAGAATCGGATAAACTCCTGACTTCTACTCCAGTTAACTTGTTCTTCCTCTGAAGCTAGGTCCCTCTTTTTATGGGATTATTATCTAAAAAACCATTTTTGCTCAACCATTTTTCAAAATTGTCATTTTCTCAACATTCTTTCAAATTTGCCATTTTTGCCATTTTTAAAAACTAAAAATTTGGAAAAATAATTTTATAAAGCATATACTTTATAACAAAAACTATACCCTACAAAAAAATGGAACTTAATAAACCTAAGCATTATGTGTAAATTTGTGTTTTTGTTTACAAGAAAATGGCAATTTTCAAATTTTTTTGATAAAATGGCAAATTCTATAAAAGCCATCAAAATAAATCCTTCATTCGTAATTGATTCCTCCTTTTATAGCCATGATGTGACAACTTAATCCTCTTTAGGATCGATGTGGGACTGCTAGGTCACATGTGCTTTGTGGCGGCGTAGCGTTGTACGGAGGGGCCGACTTCCTGGCAGATCGAATGCAAATTGGCCGACTTCTTGGCAAATCGATGACAGATGGGCCGACTTCTGTTGACCTGCTTGGTGAACGTCCCTGGAGCTGGTCATCATTTTCTGATGGGCCGAGCAAATGTTGGTGGGACGAAACCCATATCAACATCTAGTCAATTTTTTGCAACAACTAATATACAATAAGGTCTCTACATAAAAAAAAAATAAAAATAAAAAAAATAAAAAAATAAAAAAATACCAGGTCCAAGACGTTACGGGCAAGGCAGGGACGGCTTGCCGTGGATGGGACGACAAAGATTTAGATATGGGGACGTTTCCACAACGTCTCGAGCAAAAACTGGCGTCTCTAATATGTAAACATATTAATTAATATAAATACATGTTTTCCAAAAATATTTAAAAAGAAGTTAAGGGTAAAAATAGTTTACTAGGGTTTTTAAGAACTTTTCTCACGCCTCTCCCTGCCTCCTCACGTCATTTTGAAACTTTGACTCTTCGCCTCAATTTCCACTAGGCCTGGGCATTCGGATTTCAGATCGGATTCGGATCGGATATATTCGGATCGGATATATTCGGATTCGGATCATTCGGGTATGAGAGTTTATTATCCGTTCGGATTTTATGACTTTTCGGTTCGGTTTCGGTTCGGATATATTCGGATTCGGATAATTTGGATAGAAGAATTTATTATCCGTTCGGATTTTATGAGTCATCGATTCGGTTTTGGTTCGGATGTGTGTCGGATTCGGATCGGTTTTCGGGAAAAAAAACTAAAAAATTGTTCAATTTAAATAAAAATTGGTTTAATCTTACTAAAATTTGGTGAAATTTTGTAAAAATATGTATAATTTTAACAAATATAACTAAAAAATTTCTGAAATATAGGTTATTTAGGATATTTTTGTTATTTGCTATAAAATTAAAATTAAATATAACTAATATTTTTGGATATTTAATTTTATTTTCGGTTTTCGGATATCCTTTCGGTTTTCGGTTCGGATCGGATTCGGTTCGGGTAATTCGGATAGGAGAATTCATTATCCATTCGGGTTTTGTGACTCTTCGGTTCGGATTCGGTTCCGGATTTTTCGGATCGGTTTCGGATCGGTTTTCGGATTTCGGGTTTTATGCCCAGGCCTAATTTCCACAATCCATCTCTTCACGTCATTCACCGGACCGGAGCTTTTGTAATCGTCCTTTTCTTTTACCTTGCTTTTGTAATTGTCGTTTCTTTTCAACTTTTTTATTTATTCACTACAAAATATACGATGGATAACGTCAATTTACTAGAATCACTTCGTTAACCGACGTAAGATTTTTTGGTGCAAGGAATTTGGCGTCGGTTTACTAACCGACTAAAATATTGGTTCATAAAATTCGTGTTTTCCTTTTTTAAATGTCAAAATTTGTTGATGAATCATATGAGGACCCACTAAAGGAGGGTTCACTACGTAAATCGAGTCTAAAATTTATTTGGTTTATTATCTTATGCTAGAGAGTTTTACAAACTTTTTTTGTAAATGACGTTAAAGTCAGACAATATTAACGTCATACAATAATACGACGGTCTTCAAACCGACAGTATTAGTTTTAAGTCAATTTCTAACCGACGTTACACTCAATATTAAACGACGTTACTTTCCGTGTTTTTTGTAGTGATTGGTTTGTTTGTTTTTTAGATTTTATTTCATGGTATGGTGCAGTTTGCTTATACTCCCTCCGTTTCGTTTTAGTTGTCGTTTAAGGTTTTCTCACACAAATTAAGAAAAACATTAAATTTTCAGTTTTACCCTTTATTAATATATTTTATATAAAAATTCATTGGCCGAAACATTAAAACAATAGGGATAAAACTGGAATTTTCACCAAACATTTGCATCGAAAACCTAAAACGACAACTATTATGAAACAAAATTTTAATTCTAAAACGACAAGTAAAACGAAACGGAGGGAGTATAAAGTAATGACGTTTTAAGAATCAAGTGATAATATTGGTAGTACGTTCTACTAACATGTCAAATCAAAGTGGAGAAAATTTATCATGAACTTATGTCTAAATTAGAGAAATAAATAGTAATAGGAGTGGAAATAAATAGCTTATGCATATGTCTCCACTGTTTCTCTTCTGAGTTTCTCGGAACTCCTATTTATCTTTGTAAACGCGGTTTCTTTTGAATGAAGGAAACTATGTTTTTGCATTTAAAAATAAAAAAAAAGTAGTAGGAGTGGAAAATGGGGCTTTCAGTGTAATATGAATGAGCGCATGTGCTTGAGACGTAGGAAGGTAAGAGGTCAAAATCCCATTTCACAAGACTCATAAACCACTTTATTTGCCCAAGTCTCTTTTCCATGTTATTGTTCTCTAGTCAACTTTTTGCACCAACTAATATACAACAAGGTCTCTACATAAAAAAACAAGGTCTCTACAGAATCAATTGGATCTGAATAGAGTGGTAAAACATCTCCAAGTGAAACAGTAGAACCTGAAGCAGAACTCATCGTCTCCTGATCATTCTTTTTGTAAAGCGGATGATCCTTGAAATTTTCTCGATGGAAGCAATGAACCCTTATCATTCTTATTCCATAACATTTTGGACTATATATCGATCAAATTCTCTATAGGAAAAAAATCGATTCTAAGTTGTTCATAGTTGGAGAATTCAAGCATGAGAAAATTTTGATTCCATGCTTTTATGCAGATCTTTTATAATCAAAATTAAATTATGCAGATGAAATCAAACTTTGGACGTTAATATTTAATCAATAGTAGAGATTTCTGATGATATATATAGTTTTCATGCAGATGACCACGTATGTTGGACCGCAACGGAATAATGTAATTAATTATTAATCCTATGTATATTTAGTTCTTTCCATTGTCTTGCTCTTTAGTGATTGCATGGGCGATAGTATGCTGGTGTATTGCAAGGTACCGGAGATGAAATAACCTGATACAGAGTTCTCCAGCGGCACAAGGCATAGAAATACTGTGAATATTAGTGCTTTTGAATAATTAAAAACAATATATGTTTAATATTAATGTTACAACTTCGCCATACATGTAATACTTTTGGCATTTTAATAATTACTTTTGCGTCCTATTATGTGAATTGGCGGTTGCTTATAGTAAAGTTAGCTTATTAATCTAGTAATTTCATGATTAAGAGACGTGTCAATAGATTCATTGATCGAACCAACCAACCCGCCCCTTAAATTCTTGTGAGTTGAATATTTTGAGTTTAGAATAGATTGATCAAATAGGATTGATATCCTAAAGAGTTAATAAATCAAATGAGTTGGATTGTAATCAAATAGGTAGGGACGTAGGGTTATATTGGATTATATGATCTACTTGACTCATCATTGCAAAAACGTAAAAAAAACTAACTTAAGTATATAAAAATTCATATTATCAATTTAGAATAGTTTATCAAACGCCAAATCTAAAGTTTACATTGGAAAATGTCAAAAACCACAAGAGTTTCCTCCCAAACCACTATAATTAAGAAAAAAAATCGAGTATAGTTTCACTTTACCAATTTTCAGCCTATAACATTTTGGATTATTTAGCAACTTCTCTATGAGAAAAGAATTGATTCTACGCACTTGGTTTGTTACATATGGTGGAAATTTTTTTAAAAGAGGTAAACAATAAAAATACGGTAATTAAAGTAGACATTGAAAAGCTGATAAAAAATAAGCAAACAATAAGAAAAAAATAAGCAAAACATAAGGAAACTTTGAAGTAATTATTTATTTAAAGTAATTAACAAATTTATGATTTCAGCTCTGCA